AGCCTCGCTGTGCTCTCCAATAGGCGTCGGTATGCGTCGCAGTGGTGGTAGCACGCTTGGTGGCTCTCCTAGTGATTCCAGCCGGCGGCTAGGTGCTAGTCGAACACTCCCGCGAGTACCTCTAATGATCTGGCCAGTGTCGACTCGGTCTTGAATCATTTCCTCAAGCATATTGTTCATCTCATCAATACTCTTCGTCCTTCTCCTTGTTTCTTTTATGGATACTGCAGGACTCCATGGAAGACCAGTTCGCATGCCGTCTTGTGATTGGGGGGATCGTGGTTCCGTTATCGAATCAGCATTGTCTCGTGAGCGAGCTGCACTTCTCAACGCGGCCAGCATGCGATCCTTGTCATCCAGTCTGGCTCGCAGATCGGCAATCTCCGTGTCTTTGTCTTTCAGCAAGGCAGCCACGCTATGGTCTTCGCCCACCATGATGCCTTTGGTGGGTACTGAGAATCCGGATGATGTTCGAGATGAGCTTGCCCGGCGGGCTTGGAGTAGTCGCTTCTCAAGCGTCGAAATATATCGATTCTTGTCCGCTAGATCGGCCTGTAATGCTCGATTTTGTGCTGTCAGAGAAGCCAATCCGTCTCCGTTCTCACCGACACTATCTTCCTCTGTGTCAATCAGATCGGCGTCTCCTGATATTCGCTTTGTGCCATAGCTTGATCGTCGTCCGATGGTAGAGGTAGACGCAACAGATGCTGTCCGCTCCAAAGGTGATCTGATGGAGAGTGCTACTGAGGATCGAGCAGATACCGGCGCCAGGGAGATTTGCGAGTACCGAGCTAGGGCGCTCATGGTGCCATTCGAGTTGACACCTGCCGACTTGGAACTAAGAATCAGACGGTTCAGATGCTCGATTCGCTCCTTCAATGCTGTCCTAGCAAGCTGCATTTCCAACATCTGCTCTTCATGTCGTTCGGCCATCTCTTGCTCCTGAACGCGGTCCTTTTCAACCAGCTCTTTGATCTCCTCGTCATTCTTCTGGGTAGCCTGAGACTCCAGTTGCTGTTTCAGCTCCTGGATCTCCATCCGGTATCGCTCCAAGAGCACGCGGGCGCCACCATCACCACCCTGTCCCAGCGCTTCTTCAGCCTTCTTAGCATGGCTGACAATGCTGTTCTTTGCTCGCGACGCGAATTTGAGAGTATTTAGGGTTTCGATGGTATGATTTGCCGTAGTTGCCGCGCTTCCGGTGGCGCCAAGCGCAGCCGTACAAAGGATACTGACCAGCGAATTACCAGAGAGAGCTCCCTGGAGCAGACGCGTCAGCTTGCTGTCTCGGTAAGGCAGATGTTTTCCTTCTTTGTCGCCGCCCTTATCCTTCCACTCGCTGAGCTTTGCAATGACTGTTCCGAGAGTGAGCAAACTCTTGTTGATGTGCGCACCCTCTTGCCTTCGCTCCTTTGATTCTGCAGCCTTTTCAGAACCGGCAAGATCGATCAAACTCAGAGTAGAGACCCGAACACCTCCAGGCAAGACACCTGATCGCTTGGTATCGCCATCCTGTCCGCCGCTGGGTATGCGCTCTCGGCTTTCGACGATGATCTGGACCACGGCATGGCTTCGAGAACTTCGGGCGTTGAACTGCGTGCTGGCCGTTCGACGGGCCTGATCTCCTCGAGCAATGACTCGAAGTAGCTGCGTAGGGCTCTGAACAATCTCCTCTTTCAAAGGAGTAGCGTACACGCCCCGTTTGCTGTCTTCTCGCAGCTTAATCTCCTCCTGTGGAGCAGCGCCGTTGGATGACGCCATGCTCAACAAGTCCTGAATTTTTTCGTTATAAATCTCAAGATAGCTCACTCTCAATAAGAACTCGCGGGAGGGCGTTTCGCGAATGTAGGAAAAGATATCCGTAATCGCCAGCGGGATAACACCGGGCGATGATGCTGTTCCTTGCATTGAAAACGTTTTGCCAGTACCAGTCTGGCCATAAGCAAACACCGTGCCATGGTAACCTTCCATCACTCTTCGAACCAGTCGCTTGGCAAGATGATCGTAGACGCGCGCATTGTTGTCGTGAGTAGTGAAGACATTGTCTGTAGTATTAGGTCAATACATTGTTATCTCTAAATAATAAAATGTAGAGGTTAGGAAATATCACATACCGTAGTAATAATCACCTCCTTCTTTTCCTCTATACGCAATGAGAGCCCTCCGGCCATCAACCATCCATTCTCCATCAGTGTGGTTGTCATTTGTTTGATCAGGTCGCACACGAACGCTAACAATGACGTTGCCCTTTACCTCGGCGCCGGATGATCGTTTCTCAGAGTTGCTGCCGGACGCGTCGGCTGAGTCCTCGTACGTCGTCGCTGATGTGGAATAAGAGCCCTGAGCAGAAGAGCTTCGGCTGTGAGGAGGGGATGATGCGCTCAGCACACCATCAGACATGCGGACACTGCTGATGAATTTTCCTTCGGCACTCCCATTCAACAAACTCGGTGTGGGTGTGAGACTATTACTGCTTGCTGTAGAGTCCCTAGCCGATTTCGGTTTTCGCGTAGGGCGACCGCCAGCCAGCGGGCTGGACGGCATGCTGTTACCGAGTCGGTTGTCGCCTTTGGGGGGCTTCGGAAAGGAGTTGATGCTAACTGTTTTCCGCAAGCTTTTAGAGGCGACGGCAGTAGGTGTGCTGTTGTTGGTGGGAGCGGGAGATGCTGAAGAGGGTGCTCGCAAGCCACTGCGAGGCGCGTTGGGGGACTTTGGTGGGCTGGGGATGGCTGCTGTGCCTTTGCGACTCTTGGGCACAGAAAGAGTGGGAAGAGAGGTGTCGGGGCCCATCGAGGGGCGAGCGCGCGGAAGAGCGGTCGCCATGGTTTTTTGCCGATGCGCAACGATAAGAGGTATCGGCTATGAGTAATGCTCGGCAGCGTCAACGGCCTGTGCGCTGTGCGTAATGCTTTGTGCTCGCTCTCAAAGCCCACGGCCGTCCATGAACGGCAAGATGTGTTGGATCAAGTGTCGTCGAGCAGAAGGAATGTTGCGCTATCGGATGCCTGGGCAAGCAGGCCGCAAGAATGGGGTCGAGATGACCCGGCCGACGGGGGCAGAGCAAATTACTCAATATCAGAGGCGAAAACAGCGGTGCCTGGTAATACCATCATGTTAGCAACACTGCCCGTGACGAGTCGCATGTCCATCTTTGGCGACTGCAACAGCCCACAAGGCGAGCTGGAGCGTCGTTGGGGATAGGGGTCGCGAGGCATCCACGATGGGGGAGGGGGCCATACCGCTAGTATCTCGCACGACAATGTCTGGAGAAGGTCGTTGTGAAGCGAACAAGACGGTGCGGAGCAACTGGGTCTCAAATCCCAGCCAAAAATTCCGGCAACGCTGAACAAGATCCGCCACGGGAGATATGAGAGAGGAGAGAAAAAGAAAGGGTAGGGCGACTCGGGACGATGGACTCTCGTCGCTCTATGGCGGCCAACAGAAAAGCGGTAAATTTCCTTTTTTTTTCCTTTTGGGTAATGCTAATAATACGACAGATGGACCTGCCGACAAAGTACCGCCGGGGGGGTGGCAACGGTCAAGTCACGATTGTTGCAGAATTCGAACCACGGCTCGGGGACAGGTTCCGGGGCGAGATCTAGCTCGGGAGAGAATGAAGAAGAGAAGAACGAGGATTCGTGAATGATAAGCGGCTAGAGGGCTTATTGAATTGCAATCGTGGGCGGCGTCCAAGGCTAGTCGAAGGGCGGTTTGGGCGCAACAAGATGCAAATCACGGGAATGGGGGCGCCGACAAGGGCGATTGCAGGGAAGGCCTCGGGGCAGCACGCAGCAAAGATCGATTCAAGACAAGGCCCGCTGCTCTAGCGATGCTGACGTCGCAATGCCGCGAAGAAGGAAGCGAAAAGACACAAAGGACGGTGTAAGAGAAGGCAATAAAGGCAGAATGAACGAAATGGGATTCCAGCGGGCGGAAAAAAAAGAGAGTGGAGTTTTGTGAAAGACAGGACTCTTGAGAAACCTGTCTGGTCCGAGCTATGCTATTGATAGGCCACAGAGCAAAGTACATACATACATGTACATATGCATGTACGGCCGCATGAAAGTGTGTACTGCACAGTAGAGCGCTTTAGCTGCGCATATATGGAGCACAGAAAGTGTACTTGGACATGAGCAGACGCGGTCGATAGAGTGAAATGACCGCGCAAGGGACCCACGGGATGCATGTGATGAGATGTGATGGCAGCGAGCAGCATCTGCTAGCACTTTCAAAGACTGAACCGTCAAGTATTTTCAGCGATTTGCCGCAATTTCGTATCAGTGCACATGCTACTAGCAGCGAGCTCAGCGATCCTTGGGGGTCTCCCAGCAACAGCTCCAGGTCAGTGGCGCACGGTTGGCCCAGCGCAGTGGGTTAGTGCAAGTGCAAGTACTTGTAGCTCGGTAGTACAGCGACCAGCGCTCTGTTCGTAATCGAGCTGCCTCTTCAGCCGGCAGACGCTGGGCTTGCAGCGACTCCAGAGAGCTTGCAGCCGTGCTAGCGCGACGATTGGCCCCTGGGCGCCGCCCTGGCTCGTGGCGCCACCACACGCTAGCCTCTAGCGCTCCAGCCGGCTCAGGGGCCCCTGTCAGCCACTGGAACATGGAGCTCAGCCTGCGTTCATGTCGCCGTCCAGCGGTCCCGAGCGAGCAGAGCTCTGCAGGGAGAGATGCCGCAGCGGGAGCACAGCATATCGATGCTACCCCGCCGTAGCCACCCAGAAAGCTCAGATACAGTGTGGTTTGTTCATGTCTGCAGGTGCATGTTCGCCTCTGCTATTCACCGGCTCAAGAGTGCAGCAGCTTCGTTATCAAAATGATGGAATGAGCCTCGCTAGCAAAGAAACGCGATGCCATCACCCGCCGGGCCTCTCCACACAAAGCTATTGTGCCGCACCTTACTTCGTTAACACGCACACGGGCCACTCGGCATTCACAGCACTACCTAATCCTTCTTTCTCAGGTTAGGCTTTCCCTCCTCGTGCTCTCTTTGTTTCCCTGATGCGGGTGACAAAGACATCAATGATTGAATATTATATGTACGTATGAGATCAACATTCGACCACTTCCTTGTCCTTACTTATCGATACAACAGTGGCAATATACGATATCAATCTTTCCTCCCTCAACCAATGTGTTCTCTCTCCCATCATGAAGCCTGGCAAATGGCTTCGCGATTCCCGACTCCCCGAGAAAAACACTTGCAAAATCAGGGGACAAAGCTTGGAGAATCCCCCGACTATGCTTAAGCAGTGTAAGTTCCCTTTTTAGCCCCCCCCCCCCCCCCTGGAGATTTTCTTTAGCGTCAACGAGCAAGAGATTGGCAGCCATCTGGCGAAAAAGATTGGCGGCATGCACATGGACGGCGACCTGCGAGGGATCCGAAAGGGAAATTGAACGAAATGCGGTATCGACCAACAGCGCTGTATACCCTGCTCCAATCTCCCAAAGGCCACGTTCTCTCTGGAACATACAAACCACCTTGCTTCTGCACATCAGGTTCTCGCAGCTCCATGGCTGAAATGCAGCCCAAAGGCCTAGAGCCTCGTGTCGACGACGTGATGATGTGAATGGGTTCGAGTCATGCAGGCGCCAATCTGCAAGGCCGCCGGCAATTGGCCGCATTAGCACATGCGTCCGCAGTACGACATCTGGATGCAGTGAAAGGGCTCCATTGACGACTTCAAGGGTTCGATTTTTAATATGGGCCTTGGTGGCTATTAGCTCGCGGGCTTTACTGCTTTGGAAGCCTTTCGAGCCATTCGTTAATTAGCATCACGAAGAAAGGGAAAGGCCATCACGCGTGTGGTCTCCATCCAGTGTGACTCGACTGCACGCACATACTTGTACTATTCACACTTTATTCGTCAACAAAGATGACGAGTGCCGTCACGGGCCAAGTTAGAGCCAACGGTTACCAACATCGCGGTTCCAGGTCAAGGGCTGACGAGCTACCCAGCCGGGCTATTCTCTGCCTTCGCCTTGGCCCTGTTGATCGCGCTCCAGGGCCAGAGCCCAACGACGCGTTCCTCTGGCGTTGCCTGCAGGCTTGTGATCAGTCACACAAGCTAACATTTCAGACTCGGCAGCACACGGCGTTGCCTGTTGGTGTGGTTGCCTCAGCCTCAGTTACACGTGCGGATACGACGTGTGAACCACGTTTTCAGGGTCTATTTTTCTTCGCCAGGCTTTTAGAATAAACGCACCCTGCGTTACAAGTGTGTACCTATGTACTACACGTACTTTAATCTGAAACCGTCATTCCCGCTTAGGGTGGCATTTTGCCATGGCCGGGGAATTAATCATTCATGCCCGCCCACAGATAGAGTGCGTATTAAGACGGGCTCTCAGCGATACGATCGCGCTTCATTGACAGACATGGCACAAATTAAAGTGAACCCTTGGTCAATGCTCTCGTCGCTCAGGCAATTATCACCACATGTACTAGGTATGCATATTTCTACCCATCTGCTTGATTGTCGTGATATCAGCAAATGGCATTAGCACATAATCCATGAATGTTGCCACACCACAATGGCGGAAGCACACACCATCACCTCGAAAAGCCCGCCATCTCCGCACTAACAACGACTCCGCTGTTTTTGTCAGGTCAGGCACGGGACAGGGGCAGGATGGCAGATGTCACCCAAAGGCTGATCATGGAGCCATTGTTTGATCATCCCTTTAGCATAAAGCACGGCTTACAAGAGTAGGCCTGACAGGAACAAGCAGCGATAAGGTACGGATACCAATTGGCGTTTGAGATATCTCTTACGGATAATGTTCCTATTGGTGCCACTACCATCATTGTCTGATACCCAAGTTATCTTGTGTCATAAGTGATACTAGTAGAACATGTATGTATGTCTTGATATTGCATCCCCCCAAGCTAAATGCTTCTCCCCCAGCTCCAACGCCATAAGCGAATTTCTCTAAGCAAGGGAGCAGCAGTGAATAACATAAACCATAATCAAAAGACGCAAGGCGACGACTTGATATCCCTTCGCCTATCTAATTTAAACCCCATTCATTTCATTCAATGATCCACTTCCGAGCATACGGATTCATGCATGTCTCTGGCCTCGTCGTCTTAAGCACACCACCAAGACATATCGCGGCAGAATCCTCCTCTTCCAACATACGACCAATCAACTTGACGTCTCCATCATCAAACTCAATCCCGATCTCGGGTATCGTTGCTTTCCATGTGTACTTTGCTTTGTACGCCATGATTCGAATCAAACGCCACATGCTTCAGAAAAGGTTCACCCTCCCAGCGCCCTCACGCCTCTTCCCACGCTGCCCGTCTCAAAAACCTCCACGACCCCCAGCCCAGCCGCCTGGCCCAGCACCCACTCCCACTCCACGCCCCAAAAGTCCTTCCACCGCAGTCCATACAATCCCCCTCCTTCGAACCGCTCCCTGAACCAATTCTCCGGCGCCTCGCCCCATTTCGTCTTGTCGAGCATCTCGCGGAGCCAGTCCACCGCTCCCTCCGCCAGCTTCAAATACCGCCCATGGCCCGGCACGGCGATGCGAAAATCAGACGCCCCGGCGGATGACACCGATGAGCCCGTCAGAGTCGGTGCGCCTCCGCCTCCGCCCGCGAGATGGATTGCGTTCTGGCCTCCCACCGCCGATACCGTGCCGGAAGCAAAGCGGGATACGTGATGGATCGACGTCAGCGTAGTGCGGTCCTCTGGGCGGACATGAAGTGTTGTCCCCGGTGCCGCCTGTAGCGAACTCGTCAGGAATCCAGCTCTTACAAGCTCGTCGATATGACTGTGTTTGATGGCGCCCCTCGGCAGCGTCTGAGCCGTGGGATTCTCCTTGAGAAACTTCAGAAACTCATCCTTGGAGGCGTTAGACATGCCCGTGTTTCGGATCATGGCCTCCAAATCTGTCGACTCGACGAGGGCCTCGCCCATGCCGCCGCGTCTCTCAACCCTTACTTTCCGCAGCACGCCGCTCCTGGAGAGCTCGACGACTTCCCGCTCCACCTTTGACGGCGAGGTCAGGATGGCATTCAGATGACCAATCGTGACAATGGGCGGCACGCTCAGCCTGTAGTTGAGAAGCTCCGTCGTCCGCGTAGACTTGAATCCCGTAGGCGGCACAGGCGTGAACATCTTCCCCCGGATGTATCTCATCGCCTGGACCACATCTCTCAGCGTCAGCTCCTCCTCGAGGATCTTGGCGATGCCGACATCCGAGAGTTTCTCATGGAACTCTTCAGCGTCCGGGGCTCTTCTTTTCGGCGCCGGCTTCTTGCCTTTCTGAGGAGATGGCGAAGGAGAAGCTCTGGGAGTAGCAGTGGCGTTTTGTCTTGCAGGGCTGGGCCTGCTTGGTTTTCTCACTCGGTTGGAATCGCCCAGGATGGATCGTAAGCTTTTTGGCATTTTCTTTATATTACCCACTTCTCAAAGAAAAAATGAATAACGAAAATGAATCAAAGCACTCGTTCTTTATTCACTGCAAAGGTTTGTTTAGAAAGACGTGGCCGTTTTGAACTTCTCCCCGGTATTACACTGCAGCCTGATAGAGGATGCGCATCATTTCATACCAGGCGTACCCTTGAAAATAAGGTGGCGAAACCGGCGTCCGGATGAGGAATCATCTGAAAGCACGACCTTTAGGCGTTGCGACAGAAGTAGTAAAAAGTCGTTTTACCGTCTAAACAAGGAAATAGAACTTAGTTGAATTTTGGCAGCCATGAAAGACTAGTAGAATCAGAGACTTGGTGGCAAGTACAAGCCGCTAACGCTGAATCATTCAAACCAGCTTACTAAACTTCAGGATTCAAGAGCCTCATTCCACGTATTAGTCACAAAGCAGCATGGTATAAAGCCAGAAATTGAGGTAAAATTAAGAATTGAAATAAACACATTAGATCTCGCTATAAATTTCATTTACGCTAAGTCAGACAAATCCAACAATGCAATCGTCATGTCTCTCTTCTTCTCCACATTCTCCTTCAAATGCACAGGTATTCAGTAGAGGTAGTTCCCCAATTATTATCCTGCTGTAGTCAGAATATATGATGTGATAGCACTCATACGCTCGCTCGTCAATTTGAGTGAGATCTTGAGAAATTCTCTTGCAATCTCGGGCTCCTTTTGCTGAAGCTTCCTCCAAGACTCCAGATCCATCAGCCACACAGTGCAGTCTCTCTCGACTTGTGCTGTTGCCGTCCGGCTCGTTTCGGAGAAGAAAGGCAGCTCGCCCAAGGTAGTCCCAGCCACGATGCTTTCACAAAGCCAACCTTGAGGGAGGTCGTACTCTGCTCGAATGATACCACGCTCCAAAAGGTAAAAGCCGTCTGCCGGCTCGCCGCGTTTGAATAGGGTTGTACCAGCAGGGTATTCCTTACGCGTAAAGTAGGGCGTTGCTGGGAACCAAAAATCTTCATTCTTGTCGCTTAGCCCTTGGAAAATCTGCAGCATAAGTCGCAGTGGTTCATTAAAACTCTGCCATCTAGAGCGACGCTGGATCTCAACGCTGTTAAGGGCGTCATGGGCCGCCTCCGCAAGATAGTTGCGGCGCGGAGAGTTGAGCGGTGCGTCGAAAGAGGCCACCGTTGTCGATGCTGCTGGGACATCTAGATTCTCCGTGCTGCTCTTCGCCGAGTTCAGCTCCTCTTGCCTAGCGTAAAGAGTCTTTAGCAACTCGTTTTCACAGCTTTCCAATGCCGAGTTCAGGTTAGGCAGCATCATAACTTCAATATTGCCGCTTCCCAATCCCACAGCTCTCAGACTCCGACCTAGTTCGCTCTCAGAGTCGATGCCACTTAGCACAAAGTGCACGCCCTTCTTGTTCAATATCCGGCTGATCGTGTTAAAGGCCTCGCCCGCGGAATAGTCAAGCCCACTAACATGCCACATGTCGAGGACGAGGAACTTGATTGGCTTTTGAGCAAACGCATGGTCGTCTAAGAGTGCTCGAATCTTGGCCTCCACACTGACAACTGTGCCGAAGAACAGATACCCTGTGAGCTTCATGATGTAGATTTGCCGCCCAACTTTTTGCAGGTAGTTGTCTTGTGAAGAGTTGCGTCTGACGGTTGAAGTAGCGACGTCGCCATCGTAGGATGCTCGAATGGCCGACACTCTCGATGTCTGGATAATGAGTGAGACAAATGCTAGCAATATTCCAACACCAATGCCCACTACAAAATCGTAGATACCCATGACAAGCACAATGACAATGACGGTGAGATACTCTGCGGGCCTAAGCTTCTTTCGTGGCAACCACACCGCCTCAAGCAGAAGTTCGAATCCAAGGTCAAAAATCAGCGTTCCAACCATCATGACCGGAATCCATCCAATGATGCTAGGCCCGATAACCATAACACCAAAGGTGAGAAGCGCAAGCATATAGCCAGCAAGCCGCCTGTTGCCTCCAGATCGCAGGAAAAAGACTGTGTTGGCATAAACCAAGTAGTTTTGGATGCTGCCTATGCAACCTGAAATGAAATTGGAATAACCATGGAGCCTCAGTTCTTTATCCAAATCGGCATGGTCCTCTCCAGAGTTGAGCGCCAACGCAGGGACATTGATGGGGACGTGAAGAATGCCGAAGAAAGTCAAAGCAAACATGGCCGGGATCACCTCAACGATGGCTCTCCAGTGAACCAGCTGAAACTCTGCTCTCAAGTAGTTAGCCATAGCAATTGATGTGTGGGGAAAAGAGGATGGTAATACTCACGGTACAAGGTATAAAAGTACCACCAAGGTTCGTCCGGCGGAGGCCCCAAGAAGATCCATCCATGATCGCGGAGTGTGCTCGGGTCTAATACATCGAGCGAGAAGACAAAGAGATAGAAGACGAGGGGAATGGCCAAGATAAATAGGGGAAGAAAGTATTTGGATGCGCCTTTCATCTGACCATAGAATAGGATAATGGCCAGAATTAGGGGGCATATCCAGAGCGGGATGGTTTTGGTTTCGAAGAGCTTCTCCAACGTGTCAAGGTCATACTCGAGACTTCCTTCTAGCCGAGCTGAAACCTCGAAGCCCGTAGCTATCAAAAACCACCCGACACCGCCTATACATCCTATCAGGATGTGCCTTGGGATGAATCCCACCATGTAGCCAAATTTGAACTTGCCCATGAGGTAGAACACCAAGCCAGTCAGCATGGAGCTCAGAGCATAGGCGACAATCGTTGTGGCGATGACTGCATCAGGGTTGTCTTCACCAACAATGTCCAAAATCTTGGCCGCCATGTTGTGAAAGAAGGGAACAACTTCAATCTGTATTGGGGTTAGATTAAGGTGCTTCAGTAGTTGTCAATCGAGATTACACGTACCAGCTCGGATCCTACAGCCCCTCTGAATATACTGCCCGTAGAGAAAACGAGTTGTGCCACAATTGTGCTGACATAGTATATAGAAATACCAGCAGATCCTAAATGAGAGAAAAGAGGCGTTCCAAGGGGAAATAGAATCATACCTAGTCTGGTCAGCTGCGTCCTTCTTACGGGCGTTCATGATAGACTCACCATATGACAAGGCATCTAAGATGTTCAGTAGCAGACCGACAGCGACCGCCGGGAGACAAGAAACTGGGTCGACAACAGTAGTCTCCCAAATAGCCTTTCCATTCCAGCTACGTGGGCTGGAAGCTATCTTTGCAATCCGAAGCACATGGCGCTCCGCTTTCTGACGCCGCTCAGTCAACCCACGCAGCCATCTCGTCCGCGCCAGCGCCTTTTGCCCTTCGAGATCATCAACACTAGTACTTTCTCCCGATCCAGAAGTTCGTCTACCCAGAAGAGGGGTATACTCTGAATCTTCGGTTGCGGCTGCTTCTTGACAGTGCGGTGTCTCGTCGATTGGCGAGAATTGGGCTTGGTCGGCGTCGACATTCTCGATTCGAGTTTGCGGAATGTTGTTTTGCTCTAGTAACGATGATGGAGGAGACGATCTCTTCAGTAAATTCGCAAGCGCAGACGGTCCCTCCCCCTCCCCAGCTTGTGCTCCTACTTCTTGTTCTTCTGGAGACGGTGGTTCAGAGACTTCGAGGATAGTCCCTGAGGAACGCCGCACGCTGTCCTCCAAGGAGTCAACATCTCCAAACTCTAGGCCAAGGCCTTCTTGAGACGACGGTCTATTCCTGTGGAGGAAGCTCGGGCGGTGCTGGGTTGAGCCATCGGACAGCAAATAACTCGCTAGCTCAGCTGTATCTTCGCGGACGCTCCTCGCAATCTGTGCGCTATCGACCGGGGCTATTCTTCCTATTAGCGGCGCATGGCATGCAAGGGAAGCGGCGCAATGTAATTACCCAATTGATCTCGTACTGAGGCATGGATGAATGATCGGATAGGCTCCTTATAGCCTTGTGCAGATCCCACGGATGAAGACAATAGTTGATGTTGCGAAGTCCCAGCCTCTAACATTGAACCCTCAGCATGGCTCGCTGTATCTGTACGGTCGTGCTGCGATTGCTCCTGTGAGGCCAGGCTGGAAGCTCTCTTCCGCCACGGCGAAAATCCTGACCTTGAGTACGACATGCTTGGAGCATCCAATGGTGGAGCTCAGCCGATGTGCAGATCGGCGATGCTTCAATAGCGATGCGGCATGAGCAGACGAAAATGGGAATCGATTCGGAAACAGCAAATGCGAGCCAGTGGACACACAATCACGGCGACGAGTCAGCCTATGCGCACAACAGGCGCAGGAACTCGAGGGGAATGAAAGGGCGACACCATGGAGAGGAGAAGAGAGAAAAGCCCATGCAGAGAGAAAGGGACGGCAGCATCGAGAGAGATAACGGCTATCAAGGGAACTTTGCTAAATCAAGAAATTTTCGGGGCGGTGGCGCCGAGGCCGGGCCCGTGCAAGCGAAATAGTAGACCCCAGATAGCAGTCTTCGGATCACGAGTCCGGATGCTGAAGCTGCCAATTGCTCTTACGACATTGTAAAACAGTGGAAAAAATGATGCCATTTAGAGCAATTGTTCCAACACAGCCATCGCATGTTAAAGAAGCTCATGTTTTGCTAGTGATGCTACCACTAGGTAATACCAAATGCAACGCCCCGGCTGTTGGATGCACATGCAACGCTTCGATCCGGCTTAGCCCACCCAATGGAGTGTAGGAGATTGCCCACTTCTTGCAGCCCTCTGCAGGTCTAGTTTGCATTAGTGGTTGGAGTCAACAGTTCGTTTTGTAGATAAGTGATACCCGCCGAGTGGTGCTGATCTAACGCAATTCCTCCGGTACTAAGTAGTCACGAGTGCGCGATATCCTCTACTGGCAGCTTGAAGCCATTATCATCAACAACGGCCGTTTTTATAAGTCGCTCACTTTGTATTTTGATTATAATAACAAATATCCCCATACCTGAAGAGGCCTCCAATATCATCCTCTTGCATTGACTATTTCAGTCACCTGTGTCGTGCTCTTCAGGCTCAAAAGCAGAAGCCTTGATGGTGCATGCAGACTTCTATCCCGAGATATCTCTTCCAACTAGCTCGATAATTTTGAAAGCAAGTAAATGTAAAATTATTCATGATTCTCATAACAGAGCAATGGATATCGTCATGCTGCAGGTTTAACCTTCAATTTTCCCTCAATTCAAATAAAACCCTATAAACCCTTGTTGCGCCTGTCGGTTTTTGGTAGCCCTCGAACCCCATGATCCAAACCGATTACCCTTTGACCTGTATATCATATCAACTGTTTACCCTCTTGGCAGGGGTATACTCCAAAGCATGCCTGTAGCTGAATTCTCTCAGCTAAGCTTCTGCAGATATCCTTGGGCAATAAGTCGCTCCACGTCTCCCTGTCGAACGTAGAACTGGCTGTTCTTTGTCAAAGTAATTGCGCTGCAACCTTTCGTGAGCGTCAAGTTCCCAGTTGCAAGTTCAAGCTAGTACTCACCCGTATTCTGTTTGAATTTCTCCCGCATCCTTGAGAACACGAACGTCGATGAACAGGTCCCGTGGCGGCTCCAGGCTGCCAGTGAGGTCAATGTCTGTCCATTGGCCCTTGTATGCTGCCAGCAAATCGCCGTACTGCCTCACATAGTCCTCTTCCTGTGGGCTAAGGCTGCTCGTAGATCCATCACCGCTCGTCAATCCTGTGCTATTCCTAGACGAACCATCTCGTACTTGTTGGCCAGACAGATCAACCACATCAGCGCCATTCCAGACGAGCTCTTCCAATTTATCAGTGCGAGTTCTGTGATACGCTAATAAACATCGCTTGTTTCTGCGCATTGAGATGTGATTCACGAGCAACGTATATGCGACTGCCTGATCTTCTGACGGGTCGAATGAGCCTTGGAAAGGCTCGAGAAGATCATCGACATCCTTGTTGAGATCTCTGACTTCTCTGGTCACTGCTCGAACAAGCTCAGTCTGATATGGAGGCAGATGAGCCAGATTCTGCGTTCTCTTGGCGTGTTGAACCTATAAGAGTGGTGAGACGCGTTGCGGAAAAGTCGAGGGACGAGCCGTACCAGCTTGATACCCGAATCTCCATACATTTTACGGCGGACCAGGCTTTACCAAGTATTGTCTTTATCGAAATCAAAAAGCTTTTCGGGGTTCTGAGATAGCTTTAGCTTGACTCAAAATTTCTGAAGTGCCGTAATGCGTCGAGGGAAAGATTGTTCACTGCCTTATCATGGTGAGGTGGGAATTCGACTAGATCTAGCACAAGTCAAGTTCAGGCTTCAAGCTTGGACCCCACCATGCCCGCTGCTTACTGGCGGTACCTGAACGCGCGAGTTGGCACATTTAAGACTTCAACACCCGACTAAAACAAATGAAGACCGATTTTGAATTGCTTTTAGCTGACTTCGATTAGGCACTTATGATCGAGAATCACATGCATTGAGCAGACGCTACTTTACTTTGTGAATAGAATTGAGATGTGGTATCTAAGCTATTCTGGTTTATATATTTGCTTCTACAATAAGGAGTACGTGGATTCACATCCCATCTTCCGCCTTACCTTTCATCGAGCTTTGGCAGCAATGTTGCAATATTATTCAACAGTTTCTTCCAAGACCAATCACCAGCAGGCGTTTTCGAATCATTGCATTATAGTTTAAACCATTCGTGTGTGGAAGCTACACAGCATATTGTTAGCAATGTTGCCAAGATGTGCGTGACCATAAAATTTCATCGAGTATGGAATAGAGTTCAGTGTTGCACAAGTGCTTGTTGTGTCGTCTTGCGGCGGGTCTTGAGTCCGCCTCCGAAACACGGACCAATGTTTTTCATCAGGATATCCAGAGGGAAGTGTTTTGTGAAGTGAAGAGAAATTTTTCAATTCTTACCTTGTCTCCCAATGCTGAAAGCTTGGGTTAGTAGCCAAGTCATGCGCAGCTAGCCGCAAATAGCAAAAGAAATCCATCATGAGATACAAGATCACATCACTGGCCATCTCTCAAGCTTCATCAGCTTCCAAAGGCAAGCCATGCTGGATAAATTCTCAGTAGACATGGAAAATGGGAAAAGAAAAAAAAAATCTAGGCTAGGAAGCTCATTTATTTTGGCGGCAGAAGAGCTACTTTATCGATATGGGATAAATATCGGCCCGGTGCCCCACTTCTTGCTCCAAGCTCGACGTAAGAGCTCCTGTAGCCTACAGTGCCGCCCGCCACCAGGTCGGCACTGCAGATGGAGCATCTGAAGCAAGCCTGCCTCAATTACGCCCCAATCTCCTCTTCATAACCCCAAAGAACCTTTTCTAGTAGTCACAGCTCTACGGGGTGTTCCGAAATGCCGATTGCACCGATAATTACCTTCAAGGCCGGCCAGTGTGACGTCGACGTAAGGCACAACCGCAAACGATCTACAGCTATCCCACTTGGCCGCTGACATTGCTGTTATAGACATCGTCGAAGCCATACAAGGTCACGCCACAGCCCGAACCCGGCTACATCTATCTATACTCTGAAGATGGTCAGTAGTACAGGAAGTGGGCTAATATGTTGACGATATCCATTAACAAGCAATAGACCTGGTACATTTCTGCTGGCGTCGTCGGGACCAGCCCTTAGACGAGCCCGAGCTCGACCTCGTCATGGTTCCCACAGACGGTAGCTTCCTCCCATACGAATACAAAACAACACCCCAACCAACAGCAAAGACCAACGGCCGCATTTTCGTCCTTAAATTTGCCTCTTCTTCTCAGCGCCACCTGTTCTGGCTGCAGTCCAAGCCTCAGGGACGAAATGGCGATGCAAGCCATTTCAGCCCTCGAGATCGCAAGATTGGCGATATTGTTCACAGACTCCTACAAGGTGAAGAGGTCAACGTGACACGAGAACTGTCGGCCATTCGAAACAATAACGACCAAGACGACGAAGATGAGACGATGGAAGACATCGAGGGCCACGGTCAAGAACACCATGGAGGAGGCAGCGGCGGGGCAGGCGCCGATGCGACGGGAGGCGACGTGAGAGAAGAGGGTGAGGAGTCCAGAGAAGGCGGAGCTGATGGCGCAAGAGCGTAGGTTAACCCCCTTCTTTTTCATGGCTGATTACGAAATGGTTCGCGCATGGTTGGCTGGTTCAAATCACTGGTCTCTGGGAGTCGATAGCATGCTTTGGCACAAAATGAAAGCCAATTAGTGTACTAAGAAACGTCCTTGTACCCTTGAAAAGAGCTACGTCCAATTATATCAAAATCTTACTATGTGACTTGCTATTACTCGGAGAGGACGAGGCTAATTCTTTTGCAGAGCTTCGTCTTCAAACCCTGATGCCGCAGCTGCCGTAAGAAACTTTCTCGATTCACTCAGAGGCCAGAGTGGCCTTGCCGGCGGGCAGCAACAGCAGCAGCAGCAGCAGCAGCAGCACGATATTTCCTATCCCTACCTGAGTCACCTGCTACCGACGTCCATCACAGTCCCCATCGTCGACACCCTGTCAGCCGAGCAAGTGGACTCTCTTCTCAGCTTCCTCCCACCCGCGGTTATTGTGCTCGCCAGCGACACGGCTGAATACGATGGCACATCAGATCCGACTGCCGACCAAATCAAGGCCGCCAACGAATCACTTTCGCTCGGGAAGAAGCAAGCTCTACTAAAGAAGGTGCTTCGAAGCCCTCAGTTTCATCAGGCTTTGGGCACCTTGACAATGGCCCTCCGCGATGGTGGACTTCCCAGCATTGCCGACGCGCTCAACATCAAAGTGGAACAGGATGGATATCTGCAGCCTGGAATGCCCATGGGCGGCAATTCTGCTGTAAAGGTATTTATTGATGGCGTGAAGAAGACAGTGAAGGATAATAAGCAGTAGGGAGGCTGCAAGTAGTGTATGTCACCAGGTAGACATGTCTCATGAATGCCACACCGGAGGCCCTATTCTTGTGATTAGATAGAGAAAAATGAACAATACCCCAATATAACGGCTTTCTCTTTCTTTAACCTCTCTCCTCTCCTTTCCTCCAGCTTAAGGTGCCTATCAAAGCGTTGCTATGCGAACCATGCAAAAAGCACAGGTCAAGCAACTGTCCTCCCCAACGCTGCTATGCAGGTACTGCTGCTGGCGGTGGGGCCGATGATGGGCTGCAGCACGCTAAGCCTTTGACAGCCGCCGGTGCGCATCCGTTATATCTTCAACCCATTCATTACCTTATACTTTCTCCCTCGCCATTGTCTATCCGCCATGACTTGTTAGCCAGTCTACACCTCTCACTATTCTTCATTCGCCAGCATAGAATAGACGCGATGGACGTGCCATTTCCGACCGACGTGCAGGAGTTCGACAGCGATGACCGAATATCCTTCTCCAAGCTCGACAACAAGTTTATTGCTGTGCACGACGACGGAACAGAGTTTGAGTTTGATCCCGAGCTGAAGAGATGGACCGCCATAGAAGAGGATGCAGTAAATGACGATTTAGATGAGCTTAGAGAGTTCAGCAGAACTCCCGCAGACGATGCTGCTTTAGACAAGAAGAGGAAGGCCGACTCGCAGAATGGCGACGCAGTAAGTTTAACCTGCCAAGCAAGAAATCACTAGTGCTCGCTCTATCGCGGTTTGCGAGATACAGCTTTGATGGAAGACCTTGACCGCTACGGAACACTGACTCAAGCATCTCTTAGGACAATGGAACTCCCAAACCGCCGCGTCCGAGTAAAAAAATGAAGCCTCCTCCGAAACCGAGGCAAAACACCGCCGTATACGTGACCGGTCTCCCTACAAACGCCACCGTCGACGAGATTCACGACCTCTTCTCTCGCAGAGCCGGCGTCATCGCCGAGGAAATCGACAGCGGCGCGCCCCGCATCAAAATGTACACCGACTCCGAGGGCAACTTCAAGGGCGATGCGCTCATCGTCTTCTTCAAGCCCCAGAGTGTGGACATGGCCGTCATGCTGCTGGACGACACCGTCTTCAGATACCTGCCCGATGGGACGGCAGAGGGCCGGATACGAGTCCAGGTGGCTGATTCGAGCTACAAGAAGACGCAGTACGAGCCCGCGGGCGGCAGCGGCGAGGCGAGCAATGGGAGTGGCAGCGGGCAGGCCAAGCCGAGGAATGAAAGAGACAGACAGAAAATCATCAAGAAGACGCAGAAGCTGGCTGCTAAGCTTGCGGACTGGGACGATGACGAGCCCTACCCGGCGTTGGCTGCTCTGTCCAATTCGAAGAGAGATAAGACGGTCATCCTGAAGCACATGTTTACTCTTCAGGAGCTGGAAGAGGACCCGGCGGCCCTGTTGGAAATCAAGGAAGACATCCGAGACGAATGCTCTAAGCTGGGTCCGGTGACCAGCGTGGTGCTGTACGATTTAGAGCCCGATGGAGTGGTATCCGTCAAGTTTAAGAATGTAGAATCGGCAGCCGCATGCATCAAACTCATGAACGGGAGGAGCTTTGGCGGCAGCACGGTGCAAGCGGCGCTCGCATCGGGTGAGAAGTTTAAGAAGTCCAAGGAGGAAGCAGGCGACGATTCAGATTAAAGGGGAGAAAGGGGGGAGAAGCATGGAAGAGAGGGTGTAGCATTGGCGTTTTTCTTGTCTTATCATCGTATAGATCATTGGCTTTTTTTTGCAAATCGTAAGTTTTGTTCTTTTATTACTTGGCTACTTCTGAGGTAGTATTGATGAGATACCCATAAATCTGCTTTTATACCACCAATAATGCTGGTGGTTCTGTCTCCATAAGCTACCTATGCCGCAATTCGACTCATTGTGAAAAGGAACATGCTATACATGCCAAGGAGAAATGTGAAGATTATCCCATTCGCTGCAAAAGACACATGAAATGGCCGTAATAAGACTCGATCCAAGGAAAAGGTTGGTCACAAAAGAAAGAGACGTACTAGCCGGTAGCTCATTTCAGGCTCATTTTGACGTCTTCAGCAAGAGTGTACCATATGGCAGCACTGATAATCTTGCAGACGATATCAAGCTCCATCTCATCTATAAATAATATACTTGTAAGCAAGAGTACTCCACATTGAACAAAAGGCAAAAATAAGAAAGGAAAAAGGATCGGCATCGTCATTCTGACAGGAAAACCTTAAAAAAGACAAATTCTTGTTTAAAATCTTACCTCTGGGAGCGTAGACCATCACAAACTCTTGGGCGACGGGCATCTGGATGTACTTGCCCTTCCACGCCAGAGGATGCCTCTGTCCCCAGCCCTTTTGCAATATCTCTTTGATGTCATCCGGGTGGAGACTCATGTGCATTGAGTGATCCGAGTCGTGGACGTGGCAAATCTCGCCCTGACAGTTGGTCTGCAGAGGATGCCTCGCGAAGAGAGCCAGGCCGTGCTTTTCCAGACACGAACGCTCGGTGCCGAATTTGGTAGGGTTCTGCGCGCTCAGCCTTTCCATGGCTCGGCGGAGGGCAAAGTAGCACCGCCGGTCGCCATGTTGGTCGAGTTGTCGTTGAGGAGCGATCCCAGCAACGACGGGGCGAGGGCCGGCGCGATACGGAAGCACTTGGGCACTCAGAACTCCTGCTTTGGGAAGACGATTCGGGTCCGGTTTGGGGGCTGTGAAGGGATCGCGGAGAGAGAGCATGCGTAGACAGGTGATTCGGATATAGCCTTGGATAGTGGCCGGCGTGCCTCCCGGCCCAAGGCTCAGGAAGTTGTTATAGTCATTGTGGATAAGAAGTGCGACAGGGACGATGCTGACAACTGCCTCGGCCAGATATGAATCCAAGAAGTGAATTGCGAGTACAATTCCCAAGGTAAGGATACATATGGAAGGGCCGCCCAGCGTAACAGAGATGGGTGTTTGGCGGACGATGCAGGATGCTTTCAACAGCTCCAGCTCTGAATGCTCTGAGAGCTCCTCATTGAGCTCAGGGACCAACGACAAAGATGTGATTGTCTCGGTCTCGGTTGGAGCAATCGATACTGACATGTTGAAAGGTATCAATGAAATCAAGATGAGGTAGATATCTGATGGACGGAGAAGTGTGACCACGGGAGCCCATAAGTGAGTTTAGGCACTAATACAAGCCAAGCCCGCAGTCGAAGTATACGGAACCGGTGCGAGGCGAAGGGGTCTGGGGTTTAAGCCATGTGAGGAGTCGCAGACAAGATATATGGCCCACGAGGAGCTGGAAGCAGGGTCTGAGGTCAGGGGATGTCCGGCGGTCGGCGGCAGAAGCTAAGATACGCAGTGGCTGATGATGGCCGTTTTGCATTCAATGGGTCTCAGGGCGTTGAAGAGGAGTTCTCGGCCGGAAAAGCAGACGTCAGGACTTTGAGGAGCAGTGCTAGCCCCATGAGTAGCAGATGCATGCAACTACAATAGCCAAGAGGTGAAGGGGTATTGTCGTGGCTATGGCTAATGCAACGAGGGCTTCTGTGTCACATCACGTTGCGCAAGGACCGGAATTGAAGTTTAAGTCAAGCTTGGGGCTGGCGCCGTCTTCGCTGATCCAGCAGATCACGAGGCAGATGACTGTATTTAGCCACTGGGATCCAAAGTCAGGCCTTATGACGCAGGCCTGATGTCGCATACAGCCTTTCAACCGTCGTTGCTCCTACAGCTAGCTGTAGCTGTAGCTGGGAGGCTAGCCAACTCGGGCATTTGCAGCTTGCACCGACGAGCCGATTAGTGAGTTCCAAGTGCTTATTCGTGGGACAACCAAGGAAAAAGAACTGAATCGCACACCCGTCGAGACGACGGGAAATCCCATCGCGGATGTGACGAGTGAGGAGCAGGTGGCTGTCGATTCGTGTTGCGCTGGTATCTGCAATGTGACATAGCATCTGATCCCAGCACGGGGGTGGATAATACGGCTGCAGCACCGCCTAGCCATTAACCAGATGCTGCAGTTACCTTTTTCAGATCAATTGATCTCAGTTTGTCGAGGCTTGCGGAGAGCAAGTGGTCCGATACTCCGCATTGACTACCGCGTGTCGGACGGCCGATCCGGATGGTCTGAGCTTTGCTTCAAGAGTCGAGCAGTTGAGGTCATGCGTACGTGCTCTTCGTACTGCTACTGGCGAAGAGAACCCAGCCAGCCCAGCCAGGTTGCGAACGCTAGGCAGCTCATTGGTCAAGCGGTCAGGGAACGTGTAAGGGGGCTGGTGTTCACCGATACTGCTTGTGTAAGTGGCATGGAAGGATAGACAACGGCAAGATTTGGCCGCGAATAGCCTCAGAAGGCTTGGGTATGAAGAGGAGGTACACAAGCCCCTCGTCTTGAAGCTGTGTGACCCGACGACGAGATCCGAGGGGCTGAAATATGATGAATGCCGTCGAGACTGGAGCCTCAATCTTACACCATGGCTCCGGGTTATAGATGCATGCTGAGCCGTGGTGGGCCGCTTCGAACGATCCCTTGCATAATCCAGGGTAGCACTGCATGTCGGGCTCGACTTGTGTGTCCGTGGCTAATCTGGTGCGGAGAGAGGAATGTGAGGACTGCACATGGCTAGAGATCCGATGCTGCGTGGAGGCTTGGGGAACTGCCAAGGTGCAGCTGCAGGCTGCTACATGAGTAGGTACCCATGTTGTCATGCAACTGGAAGTTTGTTGGAGATGATTATTGAAAGACAAGTATCGCCAATATGGTCAATGGACATCCAGATCCATTCGCCTAAAGTGGGCGCGGAATGTGCCGGCCTGGTGCCCGCTATTCACAGACCTAGCGTAGGCGCCTGGAGATGGGGTGTTGCCCAGCAACCGAATTCATCCCACCACCATTGGCTGTTGCGGCCAAACCCAACACAGCGGAAGGCTGACAGGGGCTCTGCGTAAACGCCCGTGCCCGACAATTTTCTGTATACGCTGCTTTTCCACGCCACTCACACCCCTCCTAATTATGCGAATCGTTCGATGCATTACGAATAGTTGCTTTGATATCGAATTCGGCTCGAAGATCGCCGCTAAGTTAGCTCCTTCTGCTGTATTGATACAGACCGCGACATTGCGCGTCCTTGTACGGCACGAGCCGATCTGCGGCCGGTCTACATCAGAAGGTTGCCTGAAGGAGAAACAAACGGGAGACGTTATTCAGCAGTAATGCGCCAGGATTATGCATTCATCGTTCTCTCTTCATGTGGCTAATTTTCTCGTCTTTAGCACACAGACCTGAGCTCCCATGGGACTCTCAAACCCGTTGCGACGGTCCCGCGGGACGCGGCTGCCGATGTATCAGAATGCCAATGCACTCTCGAAGGAGCGATACTCGAATGATGGATATTATTCCTCATCGGACGGCGATTCCGAATCTTCAATTTCGGGCCCCTCATCATTTGGATCAAGGAACATATCCGACTCGTATCCAGATCGACCTTACCTAGTCCAGAAGAAGCCTCAGAAACCTAGCTTCCCGCGGCCGAGTGGTTTCTATCCTTACAGACTACCACCGCGAATCGTCCGATATGTGGTTTTTACGATAGTAGGATTAATACTTCTCATGGTTGGTATGCTGGCACGGGCAAGCCAAGTTGAGAACTGGAAAGTTGCCAATGGCAAAGTAGATAGCCGGCCGCAACCTCCTGCTCTGTGGGAAAAATTTCCACTCCTGCAGAGATACTACGGCGGTATACGTACATTGGTCCCTCTGGCAAAAAATGAACCCGAATTTCCCAAATCTGGCGACTATACACCAACAAATCCAGCTTCCGACGGCAAAGTTGAGAATCGCGAAAATGAATTTCCGTCCAGTTACTCTTGGGAGAATTATGCCGGAAGATACGAGGAGTCTGATATTAAAGAGTGTTTTCTGGACGCTTCTGGCAAAATTCGCCCGCCGCCGATTCGCCACTACAATGGCCGTCCAAGCGGGTTTCCACAGCATATCACTGGTTCCTACGAAGTGTTGAACTTGCCGGAAGATGTTTGCTTTGAGCGATACGGCAAGTTTGGACCTTATGGATTTGGATACTCTATTCGTACCGGTGGCCTAGGCACAGGGGAGCATGGCGAGAATCAGGGTGCTGAGTCAGTCTGGGGATCTGGTTCTCGTGTAGACTACCGCGAGATTGATTGGGCAGATATTCAACGGCGCTGTTTCCAGGCTAATGCTGGCCGATACAAAACACTGCCAGCGAAAACACCATCTCCGAATGGCTTCTTTGTCGGCAGCCCTGAAGCAGCAAAAATCCAGTCGCGCGATTCTCAGCCAAAGGACAGTGGCAAAGCAAAGGCTAAAGAAGATGCTTCTGCGGAAAAAACAAGCACCGAGGTGGCAAAGCAATCACGAACTGCCATCGTAGTGAGATGCTGGGACGAATTCCTATTCCGAGAGGATGACTTTGCGAATCTTCGGTCCATGATTTCGGAGCTTTCACTAGCCTCTGGAGGTCGTTATGACGTCCACCTGCTTGTCCAAGTGAAGAATGATGCTCGATACCCCGTGTGGGCCGATCACGAAATCTACGAGCAAAGAATCCACGATGCAATCCCCAAAGAATTTCAGGGATTGGTCACTCTGTGGACTGAAACGCAGATGCTCTCTCTGTATCAAGGCATCTACGACCTATACAGCCGCGGCCCAGAGCTTCCAGTTCACGGAGTCTATCGTGGACTCACCATGGCTATGCAGCACTTTGCGTATATGCATCCCGAGTACGACTACTTCTGGCAGTGGGAAATGGATATTCGATACACGGGACACTACTATGATTTGCTCTCAAAGATCGAAAATTGGGCCAAAGCTCAGCCTAGAAAGGGCCTGTGGGAACGAAATTCGCGATACTACTTCCCCAGTGTTCATGGCACCTGGGAAGACTTTTCACACATGGCTCGAGTGCAAAGCGAGATGGGAGCTGTAGGATCCGATAACGTATGGAAAAATATGCCAGGCGTTGATGGCCAACCTCCAGAGGCCGCCACGAAGAAGAAGATTAAGACTGTTTGGGGCCCAATCCGCCCAGCCGATGAAAAGGACTGGTTCGAGGGTGAAAAGGACCCCAGGCCGCCAACTACGTACGATGCCGATCACAACCAGTGGGGCGTGGGCGAAGAGGCAGATTTGATTACTCTGAATCCCATCTTTGATCCGGAAGGTACTACTTGGGGTCTGAAGGATGACATTACGGGCTACAACCGCTCACTTCCTTTACCTCGACGGGCCAGCATCATCACCACATCTCGAATGTCAAGGCGCCTCCTCGTGACCATGCACAAGATGACTGCGCACAAAAAGCAGTTTGCATTCCCCGAGATGTGGCCCTCTACTGTTGCCCTGCAGCATGGATATAAAGCTGTCTATGCTCCTCACCCCATGTATGTGGACCGTGAATGGCCGGTTGACTATATGGCCCAGACATATAACGGCGGCCGTGATGGAGCCACAGGTGGTTCCCGGACAAGTCTTTATGGCGAGCGCGAACACAACCTGAAGGGCTTAACTTGGTTCTACAACTCTGGCTTTGGACCCAACCTGTACAGGCGCTGGCTGGGCTTGAAGGTGAACAACGATGGGGGAGAGGAGTATGAAAAGACGGCAGACCAAAGTGGAACTGGCTCTGAAGCAGGCAGAGGTGAAGGCCGCATGTGCCTGCCGCCTATGCTTCTCCATCCCGTTAAGGAGGTGGAAATTCCCGTCGAGGCACCGCCGCCAGAAGAGCTGCCTCTAGAGGTTGAAATGCCCGAATCCGATCCTGCTGCATGATTATCCTGAGCAAGGCGCGGCTGGCTATGTGAACTTGTTTCTTTTTTCCCCTCCTTTTTTATATAGACTTTTGTTGCTTGGACATATGACGCTAAGGCCATGATGATAGAGATATCCCTGTAATGTGCTGATCTATACGATAATATTATAATACTCTTCCATTAGAGCTGGGAGATGATGAATTGAATGCCGTATATATTGATTCTGGGGTCTAGCAGCTTGTGATCTTTTTTTAAAAGCATGTTTTGCCAAACATCGGCAATTGGTCGTATATTGCTAGCAGAACAGAGAAAAACCTGCAATCAGCGACACACGATCCATTTGATTCCGTAGTTCATCATACAAACCCAGGTACCATTACCGCCCAAGTAGCAATGCTCTTGATATTCCCTGGTAGCTTGTAATCGCTTGGAAAAACATGTGTTGCCAAATATCGGCAATTGGGTGGTATATTGCTTATAAAATATAGAAAAACTTGCAGTTGGCGTGATAGTATCCTCTCTGCGTCGTAATTCGTCATGTGAACATAGGCACCATTATTATTTATGTCCTTGATCACCATCCCTTCCAGTGCCATATTGTCCTTGCTACCCAGTACTTGGATCTTCCAAGTACTTGGCTTGGCCCCCTTTTTACGCCAATTCAATGCGTTCATGCTCGCCATTGTTTCGATGCAGTTAACGACCGTGAAAACTCACTTATTCTCTACCTATACTCTGTATTTCTCTTTCCCCTTGTAGAGATTGGATTTAGACGACTCGCTTGACCTCGAAGAAGCGGCGCAGCCACCAGACCTGGAAAAGGGACTCGCCAATGACGATGCCAATGACGAACAGGTTCCACCATTTGACTCGGGAGTTTGTGCTCTCGGCGGTGTTGCGGTGGGTGCGCTCACGGAAGACAATGTACTGCTGCTCGTCCTTGACCTGGGCGAGGAGATCGGATAGACGTCGGACTGGGAGATTTAAAACGTCATGTTAGTTGTATAAATCAAGATGGGTGGTGAACTCTTGAAAAAGAGAATTGGTCATGTACCTTCAGTCTCCAGGGGATCGGCGCTAGATTCGGATTCGGTGACATAGACGATGCCGTGGACGTTGAAGGAGACTTCCTTGGTGTTGGCAACCCAGTGCTGGTTTCCGAAGCAGTAGGTATATTTGCCGTCGTAGTGAGCCGTGAAGGAGTGATCGCCGTTGGAAACTGTCCTCTCGTTGATCTGGTATTCGCCTGAGGGGTTCATGATCTGTCCACATTGAGCATATCTGTTAGCAACCAAGTCCTACATAAAAACCACCCTTGTCAAATATCTTGAATTCCATGTCTGCCTACAAGGCACCCCATCAAATTTCATATATATGGAGCAATTGCTAAGGGAAACGAATTGAGTCATACCCAGAAGTCAATGTCGAGGTTGCCTGCACTGCCAAACTCGCGGTCGCCCACCTGGAAGGTGACGGTCATCTTGTCGTCCTTGCGCAGGCTCTCGTGGAAGCACTCGACGCCTCGGGCTGGCAGCACGATGTTGTGCGCCACCACGGCCTGGAAAGCCATGGCGGCGGCGAGGAGACTCCTCGCAGCTGAGAGGAAAAGCATCTTTTAGAGAAAAGAAACGAAATTGGCTGGCCGTGGAGGGGAACGAGAGGCTGGCAACAAAGAAGCTGCAAAGACGTGGAAGCTCTAGCTCGTGATTATGTCCCTTTTGCGCTTCAGGATCGCGAATTGGCCAACATGCCACCTACGGGCTAAGGCTGGGCTAGCCTGCCTTGCACACAGAGCTCCCAGAGTCCCAGCTACAGGGCTAGCAGGCCCGCGGTTTTACCGGCAAGGCCTCAGGGGCACGAGAGGATCGAGATACAGCCACGATACTTGGCGAGAGATGACGAATAGTGGGCCGAGGCGGTGGAACCGCGCTGTTTGCACTCTGGGGCAGGTACCGTGCGAGTACCGTCTGGCAGCGATAAGGCTCGAGGCGGCGCAGCGTGGTAGCGGCGAATCTGGCCAGCAGCGCGGGCGGTACACTCTACATGCAGAATATAGAGGCACTGGGCACGGCTGGGAGGTACTCGTCGGTACTCGCCCGCCACCGCGAGGCAGAACCAGCGGCTGGCCCAGCGCCCCTTTGCCCCTCTCCCTGCTGCTAACGCGCTGCTAGAGGCCGGAGTCCCTTGGGCCCGTTTCCCCCCCCAAAACTCGCTCCAGCCTGGCCAAGTTCCCTTCCCTCTCAAACCCCTCCGACTCTCTAGCAGTCTCACCGACAAGACAACGGCCGTTCTTCTTTCGCTTCGTCGTCCTCTTTCGTGAGCCCCCAGCGCGATCTCGTCTAGGTGAGTTTCTCCTGTCTATTATTTTCTGGAGCACTGCCCTTGCCCTGTCCGGCTCTGTGCGCCCGCGTGCCTGAATTATCAACATGCTTTTTTCTTTTTTTTTCTTCTACTCTTACCTGGTCTCTTGTCCTCCGCAAGGGGGGGAAAGTAAGGCGCTAGTCGGAGAAGACAGCTCAGCGAAAAGCAAAAATGCGGCAGCCTGCGTTGCCTCATCCAGCAGCCCATCACGAGCATCATCCGTCATCACGGGATAACGTGTCCTCAAGCATCTGGATAAGCACGCGAATCGGCTTCTCGAGATAAAAAGGCCTTGTTCGAGATCCTTTTCTTTGGCCGCAATTGCTGTCGCTGCACCTGCTTCTCCGCCTGCTGCCCCAAATCCTGTTCTGATCCAACGCCACCCGTTGCTCGCATCTGCACATTGCACCACCAGCCGGGAAAAAGAAAAGAAAAATCATAACTGCTCTTCATCATCTGCTCGGCCTTGCCTGCTTACGCGTAGCATCAAATAGGACACTTTTCTTCTCTTTTACATATTCGACGTTTGTTTAGGCCGCGTCGCCGCCAGTCGCAGTCATGGGTCTCGCCTTTTCTAAGATTTTCGACAAGCTGTGGGGGAAGAAGGAGATGAGAATTCTCATGGTCGGTCTCGATGCCGCCGGTAAAACCACCATTCTGTACAAGCTGAAGCTTGGTGAAATCGTCACCACCATCCCTACTATTGGTACATGACTCCCTCCCCCCCCCCCGTTTTATCGCGCTTACGGCGATGTCGCTCCTTTAGTGTCTGTTCTAACACTTCCACTGATTAGGCTTCAACGTCGAGACTGTTGAGTACAAGAACATCCAGTTCACCGTGTGGGATGTCGGTGGTCAGGACAAGATCCGTCCCCTGTGGAGACACTACTTCCAGAACACCCAGGGTATCATCTTCGTTGTCGACAGCAACGACCGAGATCGTATCGTCGAGGCCCGAGAGGAACTTCAGCGCATGCTGAACGAGGATGAGCTGCGAGATGCCATCCTGCTGGTCTTTGCCAACAAGCAGGATCTGCCCGTACGTTAATACTCTTTCGTCGACTAAAACTGCTGCAGCAATTGGGAGAACTATACTGACACTGAATCTGCTATAGAACGCCATGAACGCTGCCGAGATCACTGACAAGCTCGGTCTCCACAGCCTGAGGCAACGAGCCTGGGTAAGTTATTCTTGTTTAGTCGAAGAAAACAACAGCCACAGAGTAATCGCTAACATGTCTTCCCACAACAGTACATCCAGTCCACTTGTGCCACATCCGGAGATGGTCTGTACGAGGGTCTCGAATGGCTCGCCACCACTCTCCGAAAGGCTGGTCACCAGTAAAACGACCACTCAGGAACCTCTTCTGGTAGAGCCTCCCGCTCTCCATCCCGCCTCCCTACCGCATACTCTCGCAAAGTTCTTGCCAAGCTCGAGAATTCGGTTGTAATTTGCAAAGTTATATCGATCATACCAATCAAAATTAATCCATAAATTGTGTCAACTCTTTGTTTCAAAGTGCCTCGCACTCTCACATGCCACCAATTGTGAGCCTGTTGATATACATACCCCAACCATGTGTTTGTATTGGAGAGGGGTGGGGATTTAGCTCTTTGGAAAAAGGAAGTTGTATGGGCGTATCCTCAAGGCTTCGTTATGCATTCATTCTCAAAGGAAAAATAGAAGAAGAAAAAAGATAACCCCCCCAAAAAGGAATAATTGAGGGCTGGGTTGGTCGTTGCTACTTAACAAATCGCAGCCTTTTCTCGAGCGCTCAGGTAATTTCGGACCGGAAACAGGAAAAAAAAAAGGGGAGTTTTCTTACAGAGAGAAAGAAGGAAAGCGGCAAAGATTGACAAATAATTTACGGGAGAGGAAAGTTTTACTGGAGAGATGCGAGAGCAGGAGGGCTCCTTGTTTTCTTTTTACGACTGGTGCCTCGGGCTGAAATGCTTTCATGACGGTTGTGTTCTGTGGTTTTTTTTATTGTCTCTCCATGTCATCTTGTCATTGCGCTAGATTGGCGGAGTTGGGTTGTTCGTTGAAGGCCTCCCGGCTGGGAATGATCGTAGCGGAATTGAACGGATGGGTGCGAGGGAAGCAGGATTATCCGTATTTTCTACGCTTTTTTCTATTTTATTTTTATCACTTTTTATTTACACTTTCCCTCTTTATTCTTCTTGTTGTCTCCGCCAAGTGTTGTGAATGAACTGACATGTGTGGCATGGCCTTTCCATTATTGTTATTTGTCGAACACTTTCTTTCCTAGCGATGGAAGAAGACGAGATATTGAGACGAATGTATGCAGTGCAGATAAAACAGATTGAAACCGGTAGCCAGAATATGATAATGCACGATGTGATAAAAAGTCTTTTGCCATCACTAGCCGGTACGTGACTTCGCCGCGTGTGTCATCACCAGCGACCGAGGAAGGCGCCGAGCACGTGCGTTGCCGTACTTGCCAAACAACCAAGGAAGGAACTGGGCACGCGCATACCCGCGTGCATACCCGTTTCCTGCCCAAAAAGAAAAAAAAAAAAAACCACCACCAAATCCGTCAACTACACACGACCACGCATATCAAGAAGCATCAAAAGAAGCATCAACACCAACACCACCAAAAATAGGTTCCGGAGGGAGTCGAACCCTCGCTGGCGGAATCAGAATCCGCAGTCATGACCGTTAGACCACGGAACCAAAGAATGGATTTCTTAGCGGACTGCGCTTTAAATTACATTATCAAGGTAATAATTGCGTCTAGAATTTTTTTTTTTGAGTCAGGTTTCGTTGAACTACATCCATCTTGTGATCTGATTTAGAAAAAAAGAAAAGAAAAGACGGCGATAAAGAGACTTAGTTCAAGATCAAAATTTTCTACGCACGATGCAGGCTCTCCTGGTTGGAATTAACTCACATCGCCAGCTGGGCATCTGCATACTGGCCGGGCTGTTCAAAAGCTAGAGGATTTACGATGGACGCGATATCAGTAGCGTAATCGCTACCCGCGACGAACTAACATACATCCCGCTTCAAAAGTCACGACTCGACCCGCAAAACGGAAATCTCGCGATATTACAAGACATTTGCAATCGTAAATTTCTCAATCAATTATTTCTCAACTCTATTATATTTTCTATCATGTAATAGCACGGGACTAACTGCTTCTTTTGATATAGCTAGCATTTTATCTATCGGCCTTGTGCAGCCACAGCTGCGGCAAGTCTCCGAGGCATTGACAACATCAACCATTATATTAGGTCGTCGCCAAAATCTTCCCAGACTTCAACAGCAGCCTCGCAGAGCTGCTGGAGTGATCAATTGGTCTCTGGCAGTATAGAACGTTCAGGATGTCTTTTACAGATCTCTTCCTTAAGCCTTTTCCATATATTTTCGATCGCATTAAGGTCCGGCGAATACGGCGGCCAGTCAACCAACTCAACCTCGTTTTCCTTTGCCTATTCTTTCAATCACTCTTGCACTATCCTACATTATACGTTGGTGCGTTATCTTGTGCGAATATACCCGGCGCCGCAATTGTAGGTAGTTGTTCTTGTAAACACTCGAGAATACGGCGTGCTGTAACGCCGCCGCGGGAGGGATCCGGGTCTCCGACCAACACTTACAGTGATGTGCGAATATTAAAGGAAATAGCGCCCTAGAACATCTGAGAGTGCCTGTGGGCTTTATAAGAGGTTGGAAGTATACGGGATGGAGGTGTTCTCCCTGCTTAGAAGTTTGTATAGTGGTTAAAACTGGCGATGAAAATAACGTCCTTGTTGGCAGAAAACCTACTGCCGTCTCTTGCCCTCACCACGGGCGACTATAAACTTGTCACTTAAAATCCAACGACGCTAAAAGGAAGCCGGCTCGCGATAGTACTTCTTAGCACATTCTAGTCGCTTTTGAGCTACTTCTGGTGTCAGTAGTGGTCGTCGGCGAGCTTTGGTGTGTTGAATGCCTTCCCTTTTAATCTACCGCAGAATTGTGTACTTCAGCGCATCCACGTTAATAGAAATTATTAGATCAGTAGATTATAAAAGGGCTATTCTCAATGAATCGAAAGATAGCTCTTTTATTGTGTTCTGATAACTTAGGTGGTCGTCCAGAGCGCGGTAAAGATTTGCCACTTTTTTGAGTCTCATAGCGCTTGGTGATGCCAGACATGGAGTGCCGTGACACTCCTTCTTGTAGCTCAATCCGTTTAGTCGTATAACCTACTTTTTTTTCTCATTGTAACACTAGTCCTCTTATGAGAACTATATTCAAATCTGGGTGTAATTGGAGCCATGATTATTGAGAAAATTAAAAATGAAGAAAAAAGGTTTGTCGGGGAGATTAATAAAATCGCGACCCGATCGCGTTAAAGTGCGGCGAGTCGTGACTTTTGACTCCCCACTGTAGGTCCGTGCAATGGCAGTTGACAACGAGAATAAATGAAGATAAAATAGCCCTTCCTTTTCCAAGACACCCCTTGTGATAAACTTGTCATTTCACAATTTTTTTTTTTTTTTTTTGAAATGATTACAGGTAGTGATATGGTAGGATTTAACCTTGCTGGCCAATTACAGGAGCATACTAGGATTTAGGACAGTCGACACGCAGACTGAAGATGTATTTTATTAATATATACCTAGGCACTTTTCCATTTCCATTTTTCTACCTGTATGCTTGATTGACTCCGTCTGTCTGCTAATTGACTTTTGGATTGGCCTACAGTAATGCTCTAGTGAGGCGAGGAGCTATCGCAAGAAGAGGAAGTGTTTGTCAAGGGAGGTGCGGTGCATCGCGTAGCTCAATGAAACAAGCGGTCAAAAAATTGTTCATTGTCAAGGAAAGTGCAGTGTATCGCGTAGCTCAATGATGCAATAGGTCAAGAAAATGGTACTTTGTGGAGGAAGGTGCAATGCCTCCTATAGCTCATTAATGCAAAAGGCCAAAAACTTTTGAAGAAGAGGAAAACGATTTTCTTTGTTTCTTCAAGTCCATCAGTCTCAAAATACGATATTCTAATTCTTTTAAGGAATAATACAATAATTGAGACAATGGCGAAACACGAGCAGCAAACCGACAACGACAAGCCCTTCGTTAAGAAGGCGCGATGCGACAGCGATGAAGAGGACGCTGAGGTCCCGGAGGAATTGAGTTTAGTGGGTGAAGCTATGCTTCTGTTTGGGAAGTATGGTGCAGAGGGCACAACTGCTGGCGATATTCTCCTCTCCCTTATGATGTATGAGGCTAAAGACGATGTTCGTCAGTTTATAGCACGTTCCATAGCTTGTACCCCCGTTACCGCCAAGATGGACGCCTTCTTAAACGACAATGAAGAGGGGTGGGCCACCCAGGACCCCGAGATGGACTGCGCCTGGTCCAATGTTGTCGCCAAGTTACGAAAAGCCGGAATGGATGAGTCGACGATCCGAAAGCTAGCGAAAGCCTCCGGACCATTGAAGGCTGCGATGTGCTGTTTATGGCACGATCCGACATTAGCTACGGAGAAAGAGGATTATGGTATGTCTCTAGATCGTACTAATCCTTGCGTGAACTTGCAGTGGCAGAAGATTAGCGACAACAGTAAAGTCCGGACCCAGGATACATACCTAATGAGGATAGCATATGATGGTAAGGGCCCTCAATGGGAATCAATCTTTAGTGATAATGCAGCAGATATTATCGAAATCTGCCATAACTTTGCTTTAGATGCAATTCTGTCAGCACCTTTTAGTATCATTCTAGGACGATCGAATATCGAGATTGTAGAAGAGCTACTGAAGAAACGGGAGGACGAACTATTAGTTGAAACAATTGGCCTGCGTGTCCCGGTAAGTTTATATGGCAAACAGCCCGTTCTGGTAGTCCGGAGTAAGGATTCAGGGATGATTCTTCACATACTGGTTCTTTCATACCATGGAATGTGGTTTCTTAAAGTAAAAAATGAAAATGATACAAAAAAGGACGCCCGGGTTCTTCTTGACCTTATCTGGAATGCAGTATGCCAATGGAGCGGCGTTCCAATAGGAGACGACAGCCTGTTCTCAAGGGGAGATAACGAAAAGAAGATGGATATACTCGCCCTTATCAAATCCCGACGCGCGCAAGAAAGAGCTTCTGGCGTCAACGTTAACCATCGAGAAGCGCGGGCAATGGTTGCGCACATGCTGGCAAAGCCAAAATATGCCGAGCTTGTGGAGAAACTGGATGCTCTGGATGAACAAGAGAGCTTTCTTGAAGCTATACTCTAGCATTGGAGTAGTAAAGGGGCTAACAAGGGCCGAGCAACACAAGCCACTGAGGAGTATAAGAATAGCGAGGCTGGTAAGAGACAGTTTGCCGCGCTAAGCAAGGGGACGGCAACATTGCAGGCAAGAGCTGAAAAAAAATGGGAGAAGTTTTATAACGATCCAGAAGTCCAAAAGCTTGCGAATCCTAGAACGAGGAAGAATTAATAAAGTTCGAGCGAGAACGCGGAGTGAAAATTCGGCAAGCCAATGAGCCTGTGGCTGATTATTGCGAACGTCGAATAGTTTTGATGGGCAATCTCGCTGTTTTTAAAGGCGATAATATATTAGTTTTGCCTGGCGTGAAAAGCATTATAAAATAGAAAAAAGAGCTCTTGGCGTAAATGCTATAAGGTAAACGGGGTTTATACTTGTTCTTATAAGTCAGTCGTCTGGCGAGTTACAGCGCAGAGAAAGCGCGAGTTAGGACTGGCGTAGCATTGCTAAGCTAGATGTTATAATTCTAGCGTAGGGCACCGATTGCAAGCAGACAGCCAAATGTTGGATTTTTCCAATGTTTGCTTCTGCTTGGTCAATTGGCAATTGGAGCCTCGCTTGCGAGGGTCCCGTAGCCACTTGTGTAAAATGCCCTAGATGGCATCAATTTTGTAGTATCAGTAGAAACTGGGTACTTGTAGATGGGTTTGATCGATAGAAGGAGTACTAAACTGTTGTGAGCGCAGTGGTATCAACGTATATGTCGTAGGTCGAACGATGAAAGAAGAAGAGAGCTCAGCCCTTGATAGCGGTTTCTTTGACGAGGAACGTAGTGAACACCGAGAGGAAGTACAAGAGCTTGACGATGAATGGAAGAATTATTTCGCCAGGTACTTCCGCGCGCGGCTGTTTTATATGGGAACCTTGATTTTCCAAGGGGGACCCCTTGATTTTCGAATTTCCCATACAAATTGCCTTCCTATCGATTTCTTCGGTGTCCAAACTTAAGTTTCGCCCTGACTGAACGCCGTGTCTAAGAACAAGTAGACAAATTTCTGCCGGGTACCTTATTCAAGTGCCATTTTGTATGGTAATCTTGATTTTCCAAGGGGGACCCCTTGATTTTCGATTTTCCCATACAAATTGCGTTTCCATCGTTTCTCGCCATGTCCACACTTGGATTCCGCCCCAAATCCCCGCCATCTATGCTTTTTTTTTTGCGTAAGTGTTTAAATCTTAAGCAAGTAGACGCATTTCTGTCAGGTACCTTATTCACGTGCCATTTTGTATGGGTATCTTTATATTCCAAGGGGGACCCCTTAATTTTCAAAATTCCCATATAAATTGGGCCTTCGTTACTTTCATTCGTGTCCAGGCTTAGAATCCAATCACTATGCCAATATTGGCTACCTGCCGGAATTTCAATAGGTTTAAGTCGTCTTCTTCAGTTGGAATCCCATCTTTCAACTCAATATCTCTCCTAATCCTATCCAGGTTTGTCGAATCTCGTAGTAGATGTAGTAGATGTAGTAGATGTAGTAGATGTAGTAGATGTAGTAGATGTAGTAGATGTAGTAGATGTAGTAGATGTAGTAGATGTAGTAGATGTAGTAGATGTAGTAGATGTAGTAGATGTAGTAGATGTAGTAGATGTAGTAGATGTAGTAGATGTAGTAGATAATGGAATTGGAGTTATGGATAACTTTTCCACTTTTATGGCATATTGGGGGACACCTGCCTAATGTTCCCAGAAGTAAGGAAGTCTCTTTGGAGTATATACAGGTAGCTTGCTCCCATCTTTTAGTTTCAGGAGAGTCAAACCTTCACACCCTTGCTAGACGTGCCTGTGATTTGACGAGGATGCCTCACCAGGACCGTTTCTCTCACCTCTCTACGATCGGCCCACATAGCATCAGCCAACTTGTGAAAGCAAAATTTGGATGTGCTCATGAAGAGCAAAGAAGTTGACTTTCTGTTACGTCAAGACTCGACATTTTTAACGTTGAAGCAGGGAAGACTGATCTTCAGCCTTTTCCCCAAAATCTACAAATGGCCCATCACGTGGAGGACTCTTGCACACAAGGAGCAAGAGGAATACGTGTTTCATCTTCGAATTGCATACAGAGCCTTTACACTGTACCTAAATGGCCGGCGATGTTTGAGCTCATAGAGGCGCGCGATCAGTCAATGTGTTTTTAGATGAACGGTATCTGACTTGACGACGAAAAAAAAAACGGTATGGAGTCTTATTTGATGAGTCAACACTACGCAGTCATGACAATGGGATGGACGTGAACGGTTTTAATCACACCATAGCGATTTCCTGGGAAATGAAAATTGCTAAACCAGGTCAGCGCGCAGAGTACCAAGAGTGGCTGATGCATATAAGTCAGCAACCGGTTCATTTGGCAACTGGGGAGGCTTGGGCGAAGCACAATAAGGTGCGTAACCTCGAACAAATACGAGCTGTGATGAAGCTCAACGTATACTAACGGAACTTCGGAGAAAGACTCCTGGAAGAATCGCTACGATAGAAGACTCCTGGGGAGATCAGGAACACCGAGACTCGTAGGCTTTGTTGAGTTTATACTGTTTGTTTGTTAAAGAAGTATTGATAGGTAGAAAGAAAATGCACCTGATTTGCCAGCCAGCGATGAACACTCTTGAATATATCCAGTAACATCAGCTGTCACCTGGCTGGAATACTCACATACTGCCATTTTATTATTACACTAATTACATTTTCTCTTTTCTCCGCTACTGGCTAATTTTAATTTCTTCCTTTCCAATTTCCTTTTTCTTATAATGTTCTCACATTCTCGCCAAGCTTCTGAACTCAAATGCGCAAAAATTAACAATAGCTCTGCCGGGACCACCTCCCAACATGCAACACGTTATTCAAGACAACAAGATGGACGATATTAACTCTTTTGACTTAAAGGACGGCCTAAAGAGGGTTCAGACGACTATAACGATGCCGTCTCTTGCATTAAAGCCTTCCAGAGAAGAGCCACTGTGTTGCCTGAGGAATCACATTCCAAACTTCTAGCTTTGAAAAAAGGGGAAAGTTATCCAGAATTTCAGTTTTATTTTCCAACACCTCAGCTGTAGCTCAATAAGACAGTTAATCCACACATAAAAAACTCAACTACCATATACGCTTACATGGAGCAGTAGCAATAGTAGCAATAGTAGCAATAGTAGGTGGCAGCAGTGTAGACGATGACATTTCATGTATAGGGCTTCCTTTACTGTTTTTACAGGACGTTACTTTTCATGAAATATATTTCAAGCGGGGTATCAACTATTTATTACATTTTCCGAGAGGAGTCTGTGCACCCTATGATGTAGAACATTCTTTTTTGTCATGCAATCGTAAAATCAACGCCGATGCCTCCCAATATGCGTTTTAACATACATTAACCAAGACTTACAACAGCCATATCAGTGCCTTTCTCTCCTTTTTTCTCATTGTAGACAAACTCAAGCAGTCTCCGTATGCACAACTTCAAGACCTTCCTTGTCATCTCGAATCCTCACCTCGGCTGTTTGGCCCATCTTGAGCTCGCCCCTGATGATCTTATCGGCAAGTCCGTTGCTAATCTCGTTTGTGATTAACCTATTCAATGGCCGTGCTCCAAATTTGGGTTCGTAGCCGCGCTCCGCTAGCCAGTCCTTGACTTCGTTTGGTACAGATAAAGTAATGCGTCGGTCGTCTAGACGCTGCTGGAGCTCCTTAAGACGGATATCAACAATCTCGCGAATGGCACTCTGCGCTAGCCGCTTAAAGATGATGAAGGAGTCGATGCGGTTGAGAAACTCTGGCGGATAAGCAGACGAGACGACATCCATGACGGCCTGGCGAACTGACGGATCAATGTCGCCATTGGCATCCTCTTTGTACGGGTGTAAATGATCTTGGCCAACAAGAATGTCCGCTCCCAAGTTGGATGTGAGCACGATGATGGTGTTCTTAAAGTCGACCTTGTGACCTTGGGCGTCTGTGAGATAACCCTCATCAAGAACTTGAAGGAGCAATGCGGAGATGTCGCGATGCGCCTTTTCAAACTCGTCAAAGAGGAGAACAGCATACGGCTTGCGACGAACCGCCTCCGTGAGCTGTCCCGCGTCGTCATAACCAACATAGCCGGACGGAGCGCCGATAAGTCGAGAAATGGTGTGCTTCTCCTGGAACTCGGACATGTCAAACCGAACAACTGCAGACTCGGTTGAAAAGAGGAAGTTGGCGAGCTTCTTGCACAGCTCCGTCTTACCAACACCGGTCGGTCCTAGGAAGAAAAACGAGGCCAAGGGGCGATTGTCGCCGCTCAGACCCGCGCGCTGGAGCCGCACAGCATTGGACACGGCCTTGATGGCATCCTCCTGTCCCTTGACGGATTCCCGCAGAGTATCTTCCATGTGAACCAATTTCTCAATGTGGCCGGAGGTGAGCTTTGACACGGGAATGCCGGTGATGCGAGAGACGACATTGCCAATATCATCGGCCGTCACCGAGTCATGGATGAGCGTTCCATTAGCATCCTCTTGTTGCTCTTCTTTGTCAGACGGCAACTTCCGCTCAAGGCCAGGAATGACGCTGAATCGAAGTTCGGAAGCTCGAGCAAAGTCGCCGCCTCGCTGTGCTTGTTCAAGTTCAAATCTGGCCTTGTCAAGGTCCTCCTGCACCTTCTTGACTGACTCGATTTCGGATCTTTCCTTGTCCCATCGGGCATTGAGTGCCGAAATTTCATCATGAAGCTTCTTCAAATCGTTTTCCAGCTTTTCCCTGCGCTCCTTGCTCGCAATATCCTTTTCCTTGCGTAAACTCTCCAGTTCGATCTGAATCGTCATGATTTTATGGTCCAGCCTCATGATGTCTTCAGGTTTGCTTTCGTGCTGCAGTTTCAAGTGGCTAGCAGCCTCGTCCATGAGATCAATGGCCTTGTCTGGCAGGAATCGATCGGTAATGTAACGATTCGACAAGGTAGCTGCGGCCACCAAAGCACCGTCGGTGATTCGTACACCGTGATGCACTTCATATTTGTCCTTGATACCTCGCAAGATGCTGATGGTGTCTTCTACGGTCGGTTCACTGACAATGATGGGCTGGAAGCGTCTGGCCAGCGCTACATCTTTCTCAATAACACGGTACTCTGCAAGAGTAGTCGCACCGCAGCATTGGAGTTCGCCACGAGCCAGTGCTGGCTTGAGCAAGTTGGAGGCATCAATGGAGCCTTCTGCTTTGCCCAATCCTAGAAGAGTGTGCAGTTCGTCGATGAAGAGTATCACCTGGCCTTCTGCTTTCTGGACTTCGTCTAACACCTTCTTGAGTCGCTCTTCAAAATCGCCCCGGAACTTGGCACCGGCAATCAACGAACCAAGGTCCAGAGAAATCACTCTTTTATTTTTCACGCTTTCCGGTACATCTCCGCGAACAATGCGCAGTGCTAGTCCCTCCAAGATGGCCGTCTTGCCGGTTCCAGCATTTCCGATAAGCACCGGGTTGTTTTTAGTCCGCCGTGAGAGGATTTGAATTGTACGCTGAATCTCGGCATCCCGTCCAATGACCGGATCAAGTTTACCATCACGAGCCTTGGCAGTCAAGTCAATGCCGAACTGCTCCAGGGCAGGCTTCTCCGGCTCACCCCCCATATTCATTCTATGAGTTCCTCCTGGGGGCTGAGGACGCCCTCCGGCAATTGTTCTTACTGTTGATGTTGGGAGAAGACGTAGTGATGAAGCTCCAGAGAGTAGAGGTCGAATAGCTGGTCGTATAAGCGCTGATCTTGAAGCTCTACCAGAGGCTCCAGCAATGCGCTGGGCCGAGGACAGCAGCTGTCGCCTGGCTTGCATTGTGATTAATGAAATGAGAGTAAAAATGCGAAACCTGATTTATTTATTAAAGACGAAGGAGGAGATTAAAAAAGAGCGCGAGCGAGGAACGCCATTCGTTATAAAGTATAAAGGGAATAAAGCCAGTGGCGTTTTGAGTTTCTTTCTCTACGCCTATCAGCCCATCTTATAGCAGCTTCACGATAGCTATAGCACTTTCGAGCATCTTCGGCCGTCATCGGTCTAGCGCGCTAGCGCCTATCTTATCAGCACGTGCTCTGAGCCCCATGCCCACCGACAGGCGGAAATGGCTGGTACGTACCGCCGCCGTAAGCGGCTTAGCTTCTGAGGGTTCACATTTTGCTTCCCACAAACTCGCTAGCGGCACTCACAAAGAAATCCAACATTTTCCGTTCGGGTGAGCATCACGAACGCAGTCTTCCTCATCCTCTCCACACTCCATACCAGACACCACCCGAGAGAGTCAACATGTCGGCCAAGCCCACGACCAAGCAGTTCGGGAAGTCGACCCGGGAGGTTCCCGCCTCCGCCGACCAGGCCAAGAAGTGGTATCCCGCCGACGACGACAGCGCGCCCAAGAAGGTGAGTTTGTTTGCCGATGCATCGCCATAAAGAAGGAAGAAGAAGGGAAAAGGAAAAAGCCTCCGGTATCGATGTCTGCATTGCAAGGACGTGGCGATTCGAATTGGGAGGAACAACCTGGATTTGCCGAAACTGCGGTTGGCAGCGCTTGGGAAACCAGACGCTTGGTCATTTTTCGATTATCATATCTATTTGGCGACAACCACATATTAAATCCTGCAACGACAACACCACCACTCCCAATTGCGATCAGACTCGGCACCAAATGGCTTTCCCCTTTCTTCTATTCCTTTGCGACGATCCGACCCATCTCTGGGGAAAACACACACAAAGGTCGCGCTAATACGATTGGAAATCACAGGTTCGCAAGGCTGTCCGATCTTGGGCTCCCCGAAAGACTCTCCAGCCCGGTACCGTCCTGATCCTCCTCGCCGGCCGCTTCCGTGGCAAGCGCGTCGTCCTCCTCAAGAACCTCGACCAGGGTGTTCTTCTCGTCACCGGCCCCTTCAAGATCAACGGTGTTCCTCTGCGAAGAGTCAACGCCCGATACGTCATCGCCACCTCATACAAGGTCGACATCTCCGGCCTGGACGCTGCCAAGATCGAGGAGATCTCTCAGCCCAAGTACTTCACCGCTGAGAAGGCCAAGGAGAAGGCCTCCGCCGAGGCTTTCTTCAAGCAGGGAGAGAAGCCCCAGGTACGTGCAAACTCAGCAAAAAAGACAGCACACGAAACGAGGAAATTCGAAATTCGTTATTTGTGCGTGTGCGGGTGAATGGAATTTACTAACGGGGAACTTGCAACTACAGAAGAAGGAGATCAACAGCAGCCGTGCTGCTGACCAGAAGGCTGTCGACAAGGCTCTGCTTGCCAGCATCAAGAAGGTGGATCTGTTGGCCAGCTACCTCGCCAGCACCTTCAGCCTGCGGAAGGGCGACAAGCCCCACGAGATGGCGTGGTAGATTTCTTTTTCTTTTTTTCCAACGAAATATGAAATAATCAAAAGGAAATCAACCTGGCAGCTGTTGGGGGGATGGGGGAGTTTACACTGGGGTGTGTTGGTCAAGATGCGGGTTGTAGAACGGAAAAAGGGTCTCCGAAATTGGGCTGATTTGGCCAATTGCATTTGGAAGTCGACGGCATCGGTCACATCTTGGCGTCTGTAATCAGGTTTTTACAGTCAAAAAAACAACAACGAGCATAAATGATTTTTTTTTCCCTTCCACCCAGGGCCTTGCTGGTAAAAAGAGTCTGTGAATGGCAAAATGACAAGTGTATTGACTTACTCAATTTTTAATTCCACACCCCAAGAACAAAGAATACGCCTGCAAAGGCCATTTTGTGCCAAAATGCTATGAATTGATGTGTATGCCAATGTGTGTGATCATACGCTCCACATGGTTTATATAGCTCGGCAATTCCTCCGTAAGAGATTAAATATATGTGGCCATAGTACAAGACATTCACGGCTAGAAACCACCTTGATTGGCATTCAAGTCATTCTTTAGTGAATCTTTATTTACAGCTGTCATACTAGACTGTCACTGCCATACATATACTACTTTGCTTTCTTCAAGGGTATCTGTATTTCCCAGACAGGCATGCATATCGCTTAATTCCCAATACTCTAAGCAGCAGATTTTACTTCTTCTTGTCTCCTCTTTACAAGTTCCTATCGGACCAACTTTCAATCATTCCCAAAAGCGTAGCATCATAGTGCTTAATCGATACATTACCTGTGGCCTCATCCAGGGTAGAGTTGGCCTGGATAAAGACCTTGCGAGGCTGCTTGTTGTCGAGAACGACGTTGCGAACCTTTGTGCCCCAAAAGTCAAGGCCAACGTTGCTCATTCCGAGGTAAAAATCAGATCCAGTCTTGACGTCGGCAGTTGACTTGTAAACGTGAAGCTTTTGAAGGTAATCGGCAACGGCTATAAGAAAGGCGAGTTTAGTCACTTGTGCAATATGGAGAGCCATATATACTTACCCTTGCGGCCAGCCGTCAGAATCTTGGACCTATCCAGCTTTATGGTCAAATCAGAAAGGTCGTCCTTGGTGTAATCCAGTTTGCAGAAATCGTCACCGGCCTCGAGGAAAGACTTGAGAATGGAGAAGCGGGCCTGGCTGTGTGCCTGTCCCCATTTCTGGCTCTTGGGATCCCACATCTCCAGAGAGGCAAGGCCAGCGCGAGCCATGGAGAGGTAAGATGCGTAGAGGACATCTCCAGCAGGGCCGTTGATATCTTCACTTCCGTCTCCAAACCCGAAGATCTTGAGAACGGGGAATTCGCAGCTGAGGTACATGGCAACCAGCTCCGCACGACATTCCTCATACGAGGCCGCGATGGGTCCAAAGACTGAGCCCCAGGTCTGACCAGGCTTGTACCAAGTGGTGACGGGCTTTTTATCAACAGGGCTAACAGGGGGGTTCTCCTTGTCGAAGTTGTAAACTCCAGAAGAAGTCTCCTGCAAAAGCTTACCGCAGCCGTGACCTGAACAGATCGTTAATAGGCAAATGTAAGTTGAGATAGAAGTGAACTCACCCGTAAGCTCGTGAAGTCCAACTTGGACCTCGAAAGCGGCGTCCCGGTTTGCCTGGTACACTTCCAGATCCTCAGGGCGGATGAAGGGAATCTTTTCATTAGGAGCCTTGGCACTGAGGACGTTTCCAAGAGATACATTCTTGAAGCCTTCAGTTTGTCGGATATCATCGTAGTTGGGACTAAATTATGTTAACAGACATAAATTGTCACTTGGAAACGAAAATCGTGCTTACATGTTGATACCGGCAGGGATACCGGAGTCTGGAGAGGTTATCAGCTATTATATGTAAACAGAGCCCATGCCTGATATTACTAACTCGCAAAGGTCATCACTTCTAGTGATGTAAAGTCGGGAGAGAGGAATTTGTCCTTTTCGAACTCTTTGCTCCAAGGAAGTAAGGGGATGAGAGAGGGCGAGGCCTCAACGAGTTCGCCAAAAGCACGGGTTCGCTCCTCTGTCAGTTATTATTAGCCGGCCAATCTTATGTTAGCTGGTAGATGTGATCAAATACGTACGGTTAACCACTGAAAGCTTAAGTTAGCAAAATGCATAAACGATATATGGTAAATTAGGGGTATACCCACTGGAAGCGAAACCTTCCCACTCTCCGCGAACACCAGCAGGGTCACGATACGTCTCGATAAAACCAATGTTGCACTCAACGCTGGGACCCTTATCCTTGATCCAGAAGCGCTGGCTGTCCTTGAATGCCTCCAGAGAGCCGGTCTCGAAAGATTTGGCATAGGCCAAGTGCATGTTCTTCTGGTTGTCATTGTCCGCGTTGGCCGCAGCCTGTTTGATGTTGGCAGTGATGTTCTTCATCTCATCAGCATAATCACCGTAGACCAGGCTGATGGTCTTGCCCTTGAGGGGACCACTCTCAACAGTGAATTTTGTCTCTTTTCCAATATCGCCTCCTTCAGCGGGGACACTGGTAACAGCAGAAGCGATGAGAATGTCGAAACCATCAGCAGTCTTTCGCAGTCTGGTATTCTCAGGAAGCAGTCTCTTCTCCTCCATCCACGCTGAGACAGCCTCAATCTCGGGCTTGGTGATATCCTTTGAGTCAGGATAGTAAGTTGTCATATGGCCAGCATCTAGGAACCCGAGGTGCATAGAAGCGGGATCTTCGTGGCTGAAGATGGCACCATTGGTAGCCTCGTAGAATTTCTGAGCCTCGGGAGATGTAGCGGCCAAAGCAGCAACTGTCTTCTCGGTGCATCTGGGAATAAACTTGGCGTCTCCGAAGCTCTTATAGTTGCCCATATTGCCGAGGAACATGCCGGTATACTCCAGGAAGAGGTTCAATTCCGACTCCTCAACGCCGGCCTTCTTGGCCAACGCACTCCAGTCGCCATTGGTGGACTTGTGAAGGGTGATTATCAAGTCATAAATGGGCTCTGACTCTGGCGAAAGCTGTCGCAAGACGATTCTGGAACCAGCAAAGGCAGCCCTAGAGATGTGTGAATATCAAGCACCCCGGTCATACGATTGCAGCACCATCATGACGCAGGAAAGCCAGGAGAAACGGTAGGGATGCAACGTACTTGCTGATAAAGTGAGCATAACGCTTCTGCTTCTCAGAGAGAAGGGAGAAATGCTTCTCAATCTCCAGGCGGACGACGGTGGGTGGCTGATCCGCCAGATAGTGCTTGAGCTCCTCGGGCTTCATGTTGACTGTTGATGAGGCAAACCAGGATCGTGAAAGGCGAGGCGAGAGACTGCGCTTGAGGACGGGATGCGGGCGTTTCAAAGCAGCGATATGGACTCTTATTGACGGCGACCTGCGCGAGATGAGGGGCAGAAGTGAAGACATCAGGCCAGCGCACATGCGTGGCTGGAGCTTAAGACGGCCAAGGTTTCTCGTCTACGGTACGGCGGTTGCTGGCGGCACGCAGCATGTGCCAAAAGTTCTTTCAGTGAAGCCACACGCAAATTGCCTAAAGCAGCTAAGGCCAGTGTCCAGTGAGACCGCCTGTAAGCACTGTGGCTTGGCGGGTTACGCAAGGCTGCCTACCACTAAAAACTACTACTTGGAGGACGGAAACTAGCGTATGAGATCCCTGTGAGATGTGCTTTCTCTTACTGAGCTAGTATCTGTAGCGTACCTACAATGAACAGATGCATGTAGAAGCTACCTATAGATCAAAAGAGACCCGAGTCTATTTGTATCTGCTAATGTCCGGGCATTTTTCATCCACAATGCCCTGTAAACCAACCTGAAGCTACTAAACTCCAGGGTATAGGGCATTGTGCCTGCGCCACAGGCGGGGTACCTGATCGGCTCAGTGGCCCGTCTCTTGGAGGGTGGCATGGCGGGGTAAATCGCGGCCTTGACACAAAGAGGGGGGGAGCACTTTTTACGGATTCTGGTCAAGTGCCCGCACACTTCAGTATTGCTACAGGTGCCCACTCCCATTATGATATTGACATATACCTGTATAGGTTGTTACTACAGAGACTACTATATTCAGTCGGTTGATGGTCAAGCCTTCAGAGTTTCAAGACTGGGCGTGACGGCTGCATCTGGATCAATGCAAGGAGGCGCTAGGTTCAAGGGATTCGAATCGACCGATTTACGCATTGAAACTCGGAGCAAGGGAAAGGATCTGCCAGCGTCATTGAACGTCGTCATTGAACATTGAGTCGTCTGATTCTCTTGCTCCTGCAAGTAAATCTGCAGAATCCTGGTTGCCAAGCCCATTCCGCATTGAAGAACAGGCATCAACATTGAGCCAGAGCTGGGTGGGCATATCTGCAACGTTGCGATACGATTTTCTCAAGGAAACCCAGGGGGATGGCACCAAGGCATGCAGAGAAAAGGAGAGAAGAAAAGAGAAAATAGGAGGGTTCGCCGGTGGCAAATTCTGTACGCAAGCTTGCATGATATATACAGAGTAGGCATGGCATGAGCCAATGGACATTAGAGACTGGCCCCGAAGCCGTAGGTGTGGTCGTGTGGGTAAAGCGGCCTTTCATTTTGCTGCGGCTTTCCAATCAGCCACGGCAATCGGTTTACACGTCGGAAACTTGTCGACAACTCTATCTGAAACTTGCTTATGGCTGATACTTCCGACGGCACGGTTCTCATCACACGACTTTTTCCCTCTCTCTCATTTTGTTTGCTTGTATGTGAAACTGCTAGCGGCATATCGCAATGTTGCTAATTGCCCTGGATGTCATTGAAACTGTTGGATTGGAGTTGACGGCAAGTTTGAAGAGTTCCCCGTCTCTAGCTCAGAGCTGCCATGCTAGCGGGTAGTTGTCAGAGAAGCGCCTAAAAGCTAGCTGTAATCGATTGAAGCTATTCGCCAACAAAGACAGTAAGCGCGGGAGAGAGGTGCCGGCTGTCACACAAGGCTGCTTGGCATTGAAGCTATACTTACAGAGCAAAACTGGGCAAACGGAGCTCTATTGCATTTTACTCTCAGCCCCTGATAATTCTTCTACAGTAACAGCCTAGCGTAACCCGACTGGTGGAGCTCAATTTTCCGGAGAGACTGACGACGCCCTACTGGGGGCACAGAATGCTCAGAGGATAATTTGAAGAGAATATGGCAGTAGTACAGCTACTTTTACTATGTAGTCACCAGCTCGCCCACATCTACCTATGACAGCTCAAAAAGATGATGTCTTTCCAACGTCTTTTTTTTTCTCCCTAGCTCCTCCCCGCGGAATAAGCAGACAAATTCCCTTTCCGGTCTGGCCGTGAAAGCAGAGCTGCCCAACGGCTGATGTACGGCTGCTTTGCATCGTGCACATGTGCCTAATAAAGCTCCGTTCTGCACCTCTTAGTCTAAGAGCGCGCTTCTTTCGTATCGACGCCCCCCCAAAACGTCAAACAGCCGTGAAGCAACTCGGTCCGGTAATTGAACTCATCGGTCTTTTTCAGCCTAGCCGTTTTTCGTAACAAGAAGAAAAAAGCTGTCGACAATGGTATCACCCACCTTGACCTCGTACAGCTCACCTTGCCCCGTTTTTTTGTAGCACATTTTGCACGTCAGCTGGAGAGGTTCGTGACCCCCACGTTCTGTCCCTCTAAGAGTAGTGGCTTTTGTCTTTTCTATTTTCCCCAGGAGACAGAGCGCGAGAAAGAGAGAAAGAAAAGCTAGGCGGGCAAAATTCGGCGGAATCCCCGTCTTCTCTCCAATGCAATGGGGCTGAGATGCATCGAAACGGTTGGAGGCCGGGTCTAGGCTAAGGACCACTTGACTCGCTTTTTAAATGGGGTGCCGGATGCAGCTGGGCGTCTTCCCCGAGTTGCTTCATCACAGCAGAAACAGCGGACTCGGCGGGAGTGCCTACTGGTTTCCGCGGGCCTAGTAGACCCGACCCCAACACTTTTTTTTCTCTTGTCTGCTGCTTCTACTTCATTCCTTGGTATTTACTATTTGGCACTGGGGAGCGGTCCGGAGATTTTGTGGCTCTACCCGGTTGCGGCAAGCACACTATCGGGAGTCACATGGTCAATAGTCTTTTTCTTCTTACCAGCATCTGCTTATTACTTTTCTTACGGAGCACGTTTAGAGGTTATTGCATTCCCCCCCTGCTGCCCGGCAAACCTGTATACCGGAAACGTTGTTGCTGTGACTGTCATCTTTACTCGTACCTGCTAGGTGGTATTCATGTGCTCCTTTAGGATTGCTGCTGTCTGTACTGACTCAATGCGTCGTTCCACCTGTCTCAACCGTGAGTAACAAGTCTCATGTAACCCACGTAATGTACATGTACTATTTGCGTGCTTATCCCAAGTACTGCTGCCTCGACCCGGCATTCTGGAACTCTGCCGATACCGATCATAGTGCAAGCGCAGTCTAGAACAAGCCGGCAGAGGTGCATGCATCCGACGTGCTCTATCGCGTTACTGGCAGTACATATCAAGGTACCACCACTGCTAGCCCCTAGCGGTAGCACTACATGTACCTACACCTAGCCTGTCATCTGCCCTACCTCGACCTCATCTGTCTCATATGCAGAGTGTTCCTACTCTGGCCAAGCACAAATCCTACGACGCTCATCCGGTGGGTGGCATCATCGGCTCACAGCAAGCGAGAGTGCAGAGTTGCACAGAGCCACAGCCGTGTCTTATTCAAGTCGGTGTGACCAGGAAACGCTGTCGAGGGCGGTGCCGCAGACAAGGGCGCCAGAGCCTGCCGTTCAGCCCAGGCCAGGATTATTTCATGCCGCGCATCACGCAGCAGGGTTTGTCCAGAGCCGCGATTGGCACGAGATGCTATCATCCCGCGTAATGTACTGCTACCGCGCATCATCTCAGCCCGCATGCCGCCACGCAGCAAGGCGCAAATGGATCGACAACCTATCTGGCGGCACGATGTACCTACCTGTGATGCTGGACAGACAAACAGATGCGAGTCACCATACGATACAATGAAACTCAATTCTATTGTCCGGCGCCTAGCAACTGCAACTAGAGTGATGTATGGCATCAATTAGACTATTGAGCTAGTGAGAATGGGAAAGGACGGCATCTCATAAAGTGTTTCTGTTTCGGCTGAGGCTAATGAAAGCTGAGGCAGTTTCTGATGCTTCCCCGGACGGCCATAACCAGCGCTCTTTCATTCACCGACCGGGGGAGACGGCTATTGAACTGGAGCTGCTAGCGCCCTTGGACGCCACTGATGCACATGGCAAAGGCACAGGCACCGAGTAGCTTTCCTAGCGTTTGGCAGTACTCGCTACTGCGTGATGCGTGACAGACGAGCAGCACAGCCCGTACTCTGTACCCTCCAAGCCGCCGCATCGACATTGAAGCCTCAGTCTCCGCAAAGTGGCCCATATCAAAGGGCAATAGCCGACGGTCTAATTTGTTTTGGCGTGCTTTTCTCGTTTTCCCAATTCCTTTGGCGCCGAAGCCCAGTGGAGCCTGCTTGCTTTTTTTTTTCCCAGTTTGCTCTTCTCCCTACCTTTACCTTTTTTTTCAAGCCCTCCTTGCAGCGAATGTTCAGCCGGCTTGGTCCCCCAGCTGTGACCAAAGGGGGCATGTCTCGCCGTTGCAGCGCCGCGTTGGCTTCTAATTGGCTACATTGGCACGTGCTCCCCTTATCATTGCATCAGATTGGAATTTGAATTCATCGCAGCTGTAATCTTTTGTCTCTCTTTTTGTCTTGTCTGAGTCTTTTGCTGCCCAAGGTATCACACAAGCAGCGGCTCTTCCTCGCGATAGGTACCTACTTACAGCGTATCGACGTCATCCCGACCTTCGGCACAGCCCACTCTCAGCAGGCTCACCTGCTCGCATGACTGGCCTGGCCCGACAGGGGGCAGCCCCCATGGCCGCCTTTAGAAAAATGGAAGAAAAAATGGAAGGAAAAGCAAAGGGGCGCCAGGGAGGGGCGTGGACATGCAACGGGGAGCCCCCGACGTGTTCGAGCGCCGAACCAGGCAAACCAAGTCCCGGCGCTGTGGGCTCGAGGCCAAGTACCACTACCAGGACCGGCAAGCAGCTAGACTCGATGGAGTGACCCCAGCCTGGTGTCACCGTTGGGAATCTCTTCTTTTTTCATCTTTTTCCATCTTTTTTCTTACAGGTGTTTTCCCTCCCACACGGCACCGGCACAGCCCAATTTAAAAGCAAAAACCGGCGCTTTGGTTTAGGCTCCTGTGCTCCGCTCTCACCCCAGCCCGCAATCTATCTTCCCAGCCTGCCTTCCATGAGGGTGTCTGGCCCGTCGTAGCTGATGTGCATGTACCTGTACCTGTACCGCACCCGTCGAGAGTGCCGGTCCCCGTGTTCCCCATATAATCGGACTCACCACTGACTCTCTCAGCACCAAGGGGCTACCTTGTTGTATTAGATTGCCTGGGCTCAACCCGGCTCCATCCATACGGAGCGGCGGGAGTAGGTGGCGGCTTGCTATTAAAAGGTTGCCTCTCCTCCTCATCGCCAACCTTATTTGAAGCTCTCCTTGTCAAGCTTTTGTTCACTCTCTCCTCCTCGCGCCTTCCTCGTCGTGCTCCGCAAAACGTTGTTGCTCTACTCATTCCCCCTTGACGTCATCTGCATTGATCGATCTGCTTCCAGACAACCTTCATCGCCTTCTAGGCTCAAAAGAGGCTGCGCTACTCCAGCTTTTCACACACATCCACAACCTGCCAGGCTTATTGTTTGCGTCTGGTGACCCAAACTCTATCTATAAACTACAACATCGGCCCAAGCCTCTGCCGAACATTGCATTCCTCTTTTGCAATTAAACAACCACATCCACCACCTTTCTTCCGCAACCTCGAGCTCTCCTCTCTCCTCTTCTTCAAGATGATGTCCTTCGATACCGCATGTGCTGTCCCAGGCCAAAAGCCGCCCTCTGCAGCCGCTCTCGACATCCAGACCGTAGCCAACGGCACATCTCACAACACGGAGTCGCATTCGGCAACCGCCGCCGGCCAGGCCGGCACACACACGCACATCTGGCTGGTTACCGGCCCAGCTGGATGCGGCAAGTCGAGTGTTGCAGAATATCTGGCAAACGCCCTTGACATGCCTTACATTGAAGGCGACTCGGTATGCCGGCAGTATCTTCCCTTTGTGCGACGCTGACAGTAATGCTGACGATGCTGGCAGTTCCACTCCGCAGCAAACATCGAAAAGATGAGCAATGGAATTCCTCTGACCGACTCTGACCGCTGGGACTGGCTGACGTCTCTCCGCGATGAGTCAATGCGTCTGATCAACGAGGGCCAGACCGGCGTTGTCCTGACGTGCTCGGCCCTGAAGCGCAAGTACCGGGATGTCATCCGCGTGGCCGCCTATTACGATCACCACCTGCTTATCCACTTCATCTACCTCGATGCCTCTGAAGAGCTGCTTCTTCAGCGCGTCGCCCAGCGCCAGGGCCACTACATGGGAGCAAACATGGTACACAGCCAGTTTGAGGTTCTCGAACGACCTACCAAAAACGAGACGGACGTCATCACTGTCGATGTCAGCCGAACCCTGGGCGAGGTCAAGGAAGACGCCCTTGCCAGGGTCATTGAGACGATGGGCAGAGCCGACAACGATAGCCAATAGAGTGTTGGCTTGAACCACTTGCTCTTTTCGTCTTTTTTCTTTTATTTCGGGTATAGAGGCTGCCGCATGGTCTCAGCGTCCGGGCATCTACCAAAAAATTGTCGTCAAATTTTTTTTCTCTGCGGATATGCGACAATGGGGTTATTATGACACTTGATTTTTCTTTTTTGGTTTAGATCTTTTTTCAGCTACGGATTTCTGGAGGAACGGGCCAGCAATGGCACCAACTTTGCATCGTTTCTTTTTTTGCTTTCCCTTTTTTTTTTTTTTTTGTTTACTCAAATTGATTGGCGCAGGGATCTATCTATTGGTGCACTTGAATGTGGAGTTGGGACTCGACACGAGCCCGGGAACTAACAACAGCTCGGTCAGCAGGCAACAGGGATGCAAGGGCAGTGGTTGGAACAAACGGTTGGGCATTGAAATCACTCTGCTAGCATCTGACAGGCATCGAGCGGCTGGGTCGCACGAGCAGGTCATCTCGCAGTTCCCCGTTGTGAGTGGACTGGTCTGTTGTTTCTCTTTTGCAGGCAAAGGAGTGGAGAAAGGAAATGTCTACACGCTTGCCAGTTGGATATCATCATCGTGAACGGAAGTTACATACTAGACATATGCAATAAATGAATGAAAATCTGTATTATATCAACAATCTTGCCACCAACGCGCGCTCTGACTGCATAGTTCCCTGTTTTCGAACCCCAGCTCTTTAGAAAATGTAACTTTTTACTAAACAAGTAAGCCAGGAGGGAGCCAGAAAGGAAGAGAGGGATTCCTGACACATCCACATCCACCACAGCCTTTTGCTTTTTTTTTTTCCTTTTGGAGACGCATTGCATAAGAAAGAATTCCCAAATAGGAGAGGAAATCCTTTCCGTCATTTCTCACTTATACGGCCCGCCACTAATGCAGATTACAGATTACAGATTATGTAGTGGTTCATGGTGTGTGTGCCTCCCACTTTGTTTACCTAGTATTTTGTCATCTTGGGCGTTGGGCACCGCCACTAGCATCACCGTCACGGTCATTGTGATGAGACATAGGTGGTAGCGCCAACGCATACGGAGGAGTTAGGTATTCGGCCGCTGTTCATCCTAAATTAATTTTTTCTTCTTCTTCGGTGAACAACGCAGAGGTGCAGCATGGTCATAGGATGCTGGGATCAGGTGAGACCTTTAAATTTTTTTTTTCTTCCGCCAGTTAATCGATTTGTATTTTATGCAGTGTGTACTTGATTTTTAGCTTATGCTAATATATATGTCTGTCTTATATGCACCTGAGGTTAGGCTGAGATTTATCGCTAGAGGTTGCATATTTTCGGATAGCGGGATGCGGATGTGGGTTTTTGCTCTTCTTTTATGAGGGGAAGAAAGAATGAAGAAGAAGGGCTATGGCGTCATGTTGCGTCTTGGGGATATGTATGATGTTTTGCTTGCTGCGAACGTGTGAGGGTTTTGGAGGATGGGATGGGCGTGTGCATAAGATATGCATGTATGTATGTACTACTAGTAGTTGTGTAGTTGCGTTATACAGACCACCCTGTGCAAGCTTAACTCGCTCTTCATGAGCTTTAGTCGTAAGATGTTCTTTTAGCCTGGCGAGAGAAGAAGAGGTATAGTTGCAAGCTGAACAACGAAATTTCTCAGATGCTCTTGCTTGAGCTGTTAGCTTTGCCTTGACGTTCTTGCGGCTAGGTTCAAGCTCTGGCGTCGTTTCTATTCAAATCTCAAGGCGCTGGGCTTCTGTCTTTGTAAGATTATTCGGTACTTCAGTAAGAGAAGGATGGGTGCAAAGATGAAGCCAAGCCATGTTATGGATTCCCTTCTCTAAAGGAGAATTTGTTGCCACTTCAAATTGAGTGACGCCGGGCCAGCAAAGAAGATAATCCAAAAAAACAGCTTCGAAAGCAAGAAACCGAAGGCGGGCTAAAGGGCGTAAATTAACTGGAGGCATTGGAGTCCAGCAAAGTAGGCCAATGTTCATAATAGTATAACCCTTGCTGATTACACTTGACGTTAACCGAGAAAATAGAGGGGCACGTTGGTTATACTGTGAAAGCTGTGTTGAACGCCGTGTTGAGAGGTGCCAGAGCCTATATAAAGTTTTGGCTTGTCGTCTGTTTTCTCCAGCAGAAGAATATAAATTCCCCAAACTTTACTACCACTTGCATTAACGTTAAGAGAACGAAAGAAATCCAATGAAGGTGGAGAGTGTAATTAAAGAACACTTGTAAGCGTTAGAGGGAAAAAAAAGTCGCGTGCCTAGGCAAGTTTTTTTTAAAGAATTCTTCATCCGCGAGTAATACTTGATATTCATGGGCGACATAGGAGGTTAGGACGTCTACATGAATAGCAAGCCAAGTCAATAAATTAAGATATTCTTCAGTATTTTCAGGCGGCTGATTTATCGGGAGTGATTCTTCAATTGGTTGCTCGGCCTATAGCAATTCAGCATTAGTAGGTTTTTCATGAAAAATAACTGAACCACTTACTGGTACATCGCCAACCAAAGCCTCGGCCATGGCTAGAAAGATAGCGAGTGACAATGAGACCGGCCTGGGGACGCTTGACAATGGCGAGTAACAATGAATGATCCAGGGTTAATGATGGCGAGTAATAATGAACAGCCCAGGTATGTTCAATAATGAGAGGAAAAGGATAGACATGTTGGACAGAGATTAAAAGGACACCTTAAGAAAAGGACAGTGTGCCTAAATGAAAAGGAAGGCGCGAGCAGTTCAAAGAGAAGAGGGAGGATACCGCATAATTAAAATGGAAAGAGTGGCGTGGAGTTAGGCGAATATTGCACACAAAGACAGGGAAACCATAGAGCAGCCCAGCGGGACTCCATTTATGACTTCCCCAAGGAATATAGGGGGATGCACTGGAGATACCTCTAGGGCCTCCCTATTAGGAATTTCCCTATAAAGGGAGGTATAGGCGTACTTCACGGTAACCACTCCGTTATTTCCCCGTTATTTCTCCTGGAGACCCCCCCATAGGGAGCTTTTCTGAAAATGCTGCATAACTTCACGCTATTGGTAGATGTAGAACGCATGAATAAAGGATAAGTCTGAATTTCATATTTTTTATATTCATCCCGTTTAATAAATACCTAGATACCAGAAAAAGAGTACATCTAACAAAAGATACTCTAAACAGAGGAATAAAAAAAACCCAAAACCAAGATCTCAACATGTATCGTAACATAATCTAAAAATCTTTACACGTCCCTGTCTCTCTCTACGTATATCATGCATTTTCTTATTTCAGATTCACATATATGGTTTACCTAAGATGCATGACCATGACGTCTGGCTCTTCGACAATGCGGCGAATCACCTCTGCGGCGCGAGCCATGGTCGCCCCGTCCACCACGCGGTGATCGGCGCTCCACGAAAAGTTGGTGATGTGTTTCTTGACCACGTTGTCGTTCTCGTCAAAGGCCGGCACAGCGCGCATGCGGCCGATGCCTAGAATGGCCACTTCGCGCTCGACAATGACGGGGCTGAGGTACGTGCCACCAATGTTGCCAATGTTGGACACGGTGATGGTGCCGCCGGAGAAGTCGTTTGGCGTGAGCTTGCCCTGGACGGCGAGGTTCTGTAGGCGTACGAGCTCCGTGGCGATGGAGAGGATGTTTTGCGAGCCGACGTCCTTGATGACGGGGACGAGCAGGCCCTGGGGGGTGTCCATGGCCACGCCGATGTTGTGCTGGGAGCGCATGATGACGGAGGGCTTGTTGGTGGCGGCATCGATCTCGACGCGCGAGTTGAGGATGGGGAACTGGTAGAGGGCCATGGACACGGCCTTGATGATGAAGGGGAGGTAGGAGAGCTTGTTGGCCTGGCCGGGGGCCGTGGGGGTCTGGGAGAGGACCTTGTTGAGGCGGGAGCGGAGATTGACGAGGTCTGTGAAGTCGACCTCGTCGGAGTAGAGGAAGTGGGGGATGTTTAGTGACCGCGTCATGGTCTTGAACATCATCTGCTGGGTGTTTGTGAGCTGGACTCTTGTTTCTGTCTGCACGGTAGGCTGGCCGTTTGGCAGCGGCGCCAGGCCAAATGGCTGATGTGATGATGCCGGCTGTTGCGGCAGTGCGGATGCAGATTGTGAAGAAGCCGGCGCGCTGGCGCTGGCGTCCCTCTGCTGTACAAACTTGTAGATGTCCTCCTTCAAGACCCTGCCGTCCTTGCCTGTGCCGTCGATATCCAGAATGTCAATCTTCAGCTCCTTGGACAGATGCCGGACCGCAGGCGTCGCCAGTCCTGCCGCCTTGCCCTTCTGCTTGGGCTCCTGGCTGGCACTTGGTGCCGGCATATCAGCTACAGTCAGCTCTGGCCTTGACGACTCGACAGCTGGTGCTGAAACGTCCTTGCTCGCCTCAACCGCCTGCGGAGCTCCGGCGTCCTCGGCGCCTCCCTCAATGTCGATGTCGACAAACGGCTTGCCCACCTTGGCCATCTCGCCCGTCTCGTAGTATAGCTTCTTAACGACGCCGGAGAAGCGGCTTGTGATTTCCACAGACGCCTTGTCGCTCTGGACCTCGCAGAGGGGGGAGAATTCCTCGACGTGCGCGCCGGGCTCGACGAACCACTGGATAACTTCACACTCGACAATGCCTTTTGTTTGAATCTTCGTCAGTATCATCGGCCCATTGTCATGTTTCCACACCAGCTTTGCCAAGGAAGCTCACCTTCGCCGATATCAGCCAGCAGCACCGGCTTCACGGCATACAGCCTCCTCGACTCTGAGAACCACCGCGGGGAAGCAGCCGCAGGCGCTGTGTTTCCCCTTCCCATGGCCATCTTGCCCATGGCCTTGGAAGCCCCCCACTGCCGCCGCAGCACTCTTGATCCTCGCTGGAGAAACATGATTCTGTCTAGAGAAGAATTGAGGGGTCCGGGTCTTCACTCAATTGAACGGCACAACCGGGGCTGCAGATCAAGAAAACAAGCGAGAGAAGGATTGGGGAGAAGTTCTCAATTTTGATTTAAAATAAAAAGCACTTCGCCGACTCTAGACCCGGGGATTTCTCCAAGGCCAAGCGTGGCTTCAGTCGGCATTGCGGTTGAAGCTGGATTTGTAGCTGCCCCGCGGATAGCCGAAATCCTGGGGTGCTTATGCGGTTTGGAATTCGCTTCCCAGGTTCTTTGGCAGAGCAGCAGCAAGCAGCAGGGCGCTAAGCTGCTTTCACAGCTAGCAGCGCTTCGGCCATTGAGCGTAGCTTTTTAGCGCTGCCGATGCGAACCCCGGAGCCGTGCGTCCTTCCGGGGCCGTGAAAAGAATGGAGCCCATCCATGCCTTCAATTGCGAGAGCCCAAATTTTTTTTCCGGGGCACCAGCCAAGAGAGCCGCCCGTGAACATTAAACCCCCTCCGGCGCGCCGCAAGCCATGTCATCGTCGTCATCACGGACGCTGGAATTAGCGCTCAGTGGCCTCCTCTTCTCGAGCAGGAGATATGCTGCTGCTGCTTCGTCGTCGTCGTGCGCCCGCTGCCAATGGCGTCGCACATTTACCGCAAGTGCAGTGAGGGCCGCAAAGGCTGAGAAGCCCGCTTCGGGCGCCTCCATGGATCCCCAGGCCACCGTCGCCGGAGCACCGATCGAAGCGCCTCGAAGCTACGGAAAGCGAGTAGAAGGGGGCTTTACGCCGAAGCCGCTGCCTCGACCAATTGGCATGGCGCTGCCTCCTTTGCCGGGCGAGAATACTGGCCTTGATAGTCGCTCGCTGCAGCAGCGCAAAGAGGACTTTGTCAACTACGATAAGCATCTAGCGAGACGCAAGGAGCTGTAAGAAAATCTCCATAACGGAACTACACCTCAAATGTTTTATAAAGACCGATTTGCTAATAAGGAGATGCTGCTCAAATACAGGACTGCCAAAATATCAAGACCGTATTTCCGCGATTGGGGCAACCTGCAATACCACGAGGGCAAATCCTTCATCTCCCCGCCCCGTCTCTTCAAAGCCGAACTCTCTCTCTTCTTCCCCAACCTCTACGGCCAAACGATTCTCAAGAAGGACGTGATACCCCGCGACACCACTCCTCTCCTCTCCGGAAGAGCATCCGTCGTATCCATCTTCAGCAGCCAGTGGGCAGAGCGACAGGTCGAAAGCTTTATATCAAAGGAGGCCAATCCGCAGCTCCACGAAGCGCTAGAACGCAGTGGTGATGAGGCACAGATCGTGAGGGTCAACTATGAAGACAACTCTGGCAAGGCTTTCCTTGTCAAGTTGTTTATGGGGTCGCTGCGCAGGAGATTTCCGGAGAGAGACTGGGACAAGTATTTTCTCGTGCGAAGAGGCATCACAGACGAGATCCGCGAATCAATAGGCCTCCTTAACAGCAAGGTTGGCTACACATATCTTGTCGACCACCACTGCAGGATACGCTGGGCTGGCAGCGGAACCAGCCACCCGGACGAATTGGATGGCCTGAATAAAGGCCTCCTGAAGCTGGTGGATGATATCAAGAAAGAAGCATTGCTTCCTGCGGCAGCGAGAGAGAAATTGCCCGGTAAGCCGCATCTGGAAACAGCCAAGAGTGTGTTGTGAAAATTCGGCATCTTCTCAAGTTCTGCGCCTGTATGATTGGATGAAGAACAAGAAATAGTGCTATGGATCCTGCCATGTTGTACAAGTAGACAAAAATAGACAAAACCGCTGATACCCCCCTTAACGCCAATGATATATGCGGAACCGGTGAATATTATTATGGTTCCCCCTTTTTTATCTCAACCAGAAAAAGACGATGAAGCACAGCGCAATAAATGTTCCCATGATAATCCCATCTCTCCTCTTCCTCGATGTTATACGTCCGATTATTGAGTTGATGCCCGGTACTTTGCTCGCCGCCATGGTGATCCTTCGATTAATGTTCGCCAGAGTCTCCCTCTGCACACCGAAGCTGTCATTAATGGCATATGCTTGGCTGAGGACGCTGTCTGTCACATCGTGGCTTCGGTCGATGCGATTGCGTTCGTCCAGCATATAGTCCGCCTCGGCAGCTTCTGGGTTGTTCGCTCGGTACTCGTCAATGTCAGATTGGACGTTGGTCAAAAGATTGGCACGATTGCGGGCTTGCTGAACCGTGGATCGGAGCCGGGTGAGGTCGCGTCGATGAGATGAGAGCTTCTCTCGGAGCAGGGATAAGTTGTTCTGTTTGAGCGCGGATGTGTTGAGTGACGCTTCCGAGTCTAGGAGTCGAGCGAGCTGGCCAATGACGTTGTCGCGCTGCAGCCCAATGTTAGCTCGTATAGAATTGGCAATTTGTTGATTCGCAAAACAAACCTTATCCAGCACCTCCTCTAGCTTTGCTTCTACATCACGCTCCTCCGGTGTTGGTTTGGCTGGAATATGCGCAGCAGTAGAGAATTGGGAGTAGGTGTGAAATAGACTCTCCGTCTAAAAGGACCAATCTCAGTCAGTAAAGGAGCTTATCCAACAAACATTCCATGCGGGCTGAATTCTTGCCTGGTTCTCTAATGATCGTGCCTGCTGGCGCAGTTGGGCCCAGCCAGCGTTTCCTGATGATGTGGCCATATTTGTCGGTGCAGGCGGCAGTAGTATTAAGGGAGTGTCTGATGACGATATGGCAACATGCGCTGAGATACGGGGATAGGCCGACGCCCGAATCCGCTTCTAGAGCCAGCGGCAGAATCATTCACCGCCTACCGCCGGCAACTACGTGAAAAGCACGGGATCGCGCACGTGAGCGCTCTTTACTGCCCACTTTATACCCACAATAAGCTGGCCAATGAAAAATTACAAAGTCTTTCAATCTGGTGCACGCTCAGCCAAACCCTAGGGCAATTTTTCACCGACTCGGCAAACCCTCGACTAAATTCTTTTGGAGAGTTACGAACCATCGCGACATACGGACGGGTCACGGTCGAGGCAAACTTTTACTACCCAACTCTCGCAAATCACATCACAGACTCTCAAGATGGTGAGTACATACGGTCGTTGCTCTGGACGATGAATATACCCTCTTTAGATTTTTCCAAAAATACACGTCTTCCCTCTTGCTGGACGACGGCTGTCCCTTCGATGTCGAATTTCATGCGCTGTCGTTCCGAGATGTCACAATCGAAGTCGTCGAAACCCCTCTTCATCATTCGTCAATCCGTCACCATCGCTCGCAATTTTTATTTCTATACAATGCGTCGGAAAGCAGGGTGCTGATTATTGTGTGTTAGTCGACGGGAAAAGTCAGGGCTTCCCAGCTTTGGGGCAAGAACAAGGAGGAGTTGGCCAAGCAGCTCGGTGAGCTCAAGGCTGAACTCGGCCAGCTCCGCATCCAGAAGGTTGCCTCTTCCGGCTCCAAGCTGAACAAGATGTAAGAAGGAATCTACCCCCTTTTTTTCCGCTGTTGCAATAGTCGACAGTTGAGCCAAGGAAGAAATTGTTGCCGCTAACACTTTTCCCTCAATTACAGCCACGACCTGCGCAAGTCTATCGCTCGTGTCTTGACCGTCACCAACGCCACCCAGCGCAACCAGCTCCGTCTTTTCTACAAGAAGAGCAAGTACCTGCCTCTCGACCTCCGCCCCAAGCAGACCCGTGCCATCCGCCGCCGGTTATCACCTGAGGACAAGGCCCGTGTTCTGGAGAAGACCAAGAAGCGCAACACTCACTTCCCCCAGCGCAAGTTCGCCATCAAGGTACGACAATCTTGAAGAAGTCTCGTTTCAATATGGGTGGATATTCATCTGGAACGAAAGATGGGGAAAACTCTTTTGAGAAATCGAATACTAACTGAAATTGTACTGTAGGCTTAAATGTTTTAATTATGCTTTGGTTTACGAAGGGTCGTCGGGGTAGAATGGGGCATTGGGCGCAGCATGCTTTTTTCCACTTGAACACAAAAAGGGTTTGAATTGCATCGCATTGGCTCAGGGGGAATCCGGTCTGACTTGTACTTTATTTCCCGGGCTGGGCCTCGGTCTGGGACGGAAAGGCGTCCTGGATGGGCTTGCTAGGACAGCAGTCTATACCAACGAAAAAAAAATGAGGTCACGATCAAAAAAAATACTTGAGGCACAAGCGGTGTTCAGGCTCTAATTGGACTGATTTCGATGAACATGTGTGTTGGTGCCGGTGATGATACCAAAATATGATTCTTTGTTTGCCTAAGGCTGTATGAAACTATGGCCGTATTTTGTTTGTGTGAAGTTACCTGGTGTTGCTGCTGAGTGATCTAACGGCTTGAGATATTCTAACCTCCAGTAATATGGGACTCAGATTCAGAAGGTTAGTCAAACAGGAACTCACATATCTCACAACCGGTACTCGGCTATCTTCAAGCGCGACTGGCTACAGTTCTCTGTTATCAGCATATCAAATGAACCGCATTCGTTCATTTTTCATGGCAAAAATAGCTGTTGGCGCCAAAGAAAAAAAAACTAACCCACGCACCCATCGAAGGGCGGAAGTAACACAGAACAGAAACTCCAGTAAGCTTTACTTATACAGACCAATGACTATTTTCAACCTACTAATTTAATCAGCCATAAGCAAAATGCCATATCACTGTTATCATTTGACACAGAAATTATCAATTTGAATGAGTCAAACACCCAGACAGCACACCCGCCCATAGATGAGCTGTCAGTTGGGTTGGCTCTCATCTCAATTTTTTTTTTTTCTCTCTGGAAACCCACTATCGGCCTGCAGTTCCCTTTAGTTCTCGTTAAGTGCCTCACAGCTCCCGGCTGCGTCCAATCAAGCAGCTAAAGTCGTCACCATTACAACGCCAAAGCGCAAATCATTCCCCTCAACACCCCACCATTAGGACCTGCGTTGCTACCCCGCTAATTTTTTTCCCTTTTTTTTCCCTTTTCTAACTGACGACATCGGCTCTTTTGAGATTTATATAAAAGGGACAAGGAAAAAAAAAGAGAGCTTCCTTTTCTTTTCCTTTTTTGTCTCTGATTCATTCCTTCACATTTCTTCTTCCAATTCTTCAGAAGAAAGAATTGCCCCGCCTCAAAATGTCGAACCAGAAGATCGCCATCGTCTCCGTCTACGACAAGACCGGACTGCTGGATCTGGCTAAGGGTCTGGCCCAGCAGAATGTCCGGATTCTGGCGTCTGGAGGCACAGCTCGCATGATCCGCGAGTCTGGATTCCCCGTTGAGTATGCAAACATCCCATTGCCTCATCCTTGAATTTGAAAGGGGACCAATTCCGGTTGAGACATGGACACGCGACCAAAAAGAGAAAAAGAGAAAGAGTCAAAAAGTGGAGGATAAAGCAAAGCTACCGAGAGCTCATGACAAGACACAAATATGAAAACTAATGCGCCTCGGCGTATAGGGATGTCAGCGCCATCACAAAGGCCCCTGAGATGCTCGCCGGCCGTGTCAAGACTCTGCACCCTGCCGTCCACGCCGGCATTCTTGCTCGCAACCTCGAGTCTGACGAGAAGGACCTTGCCGACCAAAACATCAACAAGGTGGACTATGTCATCTGCAACCTATACCCCTTCAAGGACACCGTTGCCAAGATCAACGTCAGCATCCCCGAGGCCGTCGAGGAGATTGACATTGGCGGCGTGACGCTCATCCGCGCTGCCGCCAAGAACCACAAGCGAGTCACCATCCTGAGCGATCCCACCGACTACGCCGGCTTCCTGAGCGAGCTCGAGAAGGGCGAGATCAGCGACGCCAGCCGCAATCGCTATGCCCTCAAGGCCTTTGAGCACACGGCCGACTATGACGCCGCCATCGCCGAGTTCTTCCGCAAGGAGTACGCCGGCTCAGGAGACCAGTTCATGGCCCTCCGCTACGGCGCCAACCCTCACCAGAAGCCCGCCTCTGCCTTCACTTCCAACCAGCCCCTGCCCTTCAAGGTCCTGTGCGGCTCTCCCGGATACATCAACCTCCTCGACTCTCTCAACGCCTGGCCCCTTGTCAAGGAGCTCAAGGAGGCGCTAGGCAAGCCCGCCGCCGCCAGCTTCAAGCACGTCTCTCCCGCCGGTGCTGCCATTGGCCTGCCCCTGACCGACGACGAGAAGAAGGTCTACTTTGTCAACGATATCGAAGGCATCGACAGCTCTCCTCTTGCCCAGGCCTACGCCCGTGCCCGTGGCGCCGACCGCATGAGCAGCTTCGGCGACGTCATTGCCCTCAGTGACATTGTCGACGTCCCCACCGCCAGCATCATCTCCAAGGAGGTCTCCGACGGTGTCATTGCCCCCGGCTACGAGGACGCCGCTCTGGAGATCCTCAAGAAGAAGAAGGGCGGCAAGTACCTCGTCCTCCAGATCGACCCCGAGTACACTCCCGGCCCCGTCGAGACCCGCACCGTCTACGGCGTCACGCTCCAGCAGCACCGCAACGACGCCGAGATCTCCCCCAAGACCTTCAGCACCATCATCACCCCCAAGGACGCCGGTGCCCTCCCCGAGAACGCCGCCCGCGATCTCACCGTCGCCACAATCACCCTCAAGTACACTCAGAGCAACTCTGTCTGCTACGCCGTCAACGGCCAGGTCGTCGGCCTCGGCGCCGGCCAGCAGTCCCGTATCCACTGCACCCGTCTGGCCGGCGACAAGGCCGACAACTGGTGGATGCGCTTCCACGAGCGCGTCCTCGGCATCAAGTGGAAGAAGGGCACCAAGCGCCCCGACAAGAGCAACGCCATTGACCTGCTCGTCAGCGGCGAGCTACCCAAGGACGGCGCCGAGAGGGAAGCCTTTGAGGGTGTTTTCGAACAGGTGCCTCCTGCTTTCACCGACGAGGAGCGTGAGGCTTGGATGAAGCAGCTGAAGAACGTCTGCGTCTCAAGCGATGCCTTTGTAAGTTTTTCAACTTTTGATGTCCTCATTGTTCAGTACATCTGCTAATCTGCAATCAATCGTGTCAGTTCCCCTTCATCGACAACGTCTTCCGAGCCGCTCGCTCAGGCGTCAACTACATCGCCGCTCCCAGCGGTAGCCAAAACGACGGCGCCGTCTTCGAGACGGCCGAGAAGCTGGGCATTACCTTTGTCCAGCAGAACACTCGTCTGTTCCACCACTAAGAAAAAAAAAAGGAGCGGGGGAAGGATATGAAAAGGGAATTCAAAGAAACAGTAAAAGGGGAAATCCCGCCATCTGAAGGGAAAAATAGGAAAGAAAGAAAGATATTTAAAGAGAGCGATCAAAAATTATGTACAAATCTATCTAGACGTCATTCAAGTGTTGACAATGACAATTCTTTTTTTTTTTTAATGTGTACTCGCCTCTTCACATCTATTCTTTGACTGGTTTACTTTTAAGATCGGCGATTGTCTGTACCAATTCCGAATCCTCTGTCGGCTGAGTTGAGAAGCGAAACGACAACCTAGAGTGCATACCTATGTACTCAAAAGCAATCAGCAGGTAGCAGTTGGCCTGTGCTGCAGCCAGAGTGCTGGATAACTTTTCTTATACCTAGGCTAATAGGTAGATTATAAAAAGCGAGATGTGCAATCGACAACATATATATTCAACGATAGTACTCTTCTATTAAAATTATTGCTTATTTCTTAAATCAAGATTTAAAAACCTGGTGTTTAGATTAGATATATAATGCCTTGTTATCTTCTTGCGCCCTCAGATTCCTATTTTGTAACTCTTCTTTTTGTATTTGCCTTTTAGGTGGTATTTAGAAGGTCGATTGCCTGGTCCAGTCCTAATTCCCTTGCATTGGCTTTTTTTATCTCCAAGATCAGCATTTATATCAGTATATAGAAAAGCAGGCAAAAAATTATATATAGTTAAAATTGCTTCAAACATTCGCTTATGTGTGAAATATGTCCATGGCGTATTAAGAGATAAAAGACAAAGAAGTCAAATAGATGGTCGAGGTGGATATAAAGGATTTATCCAAAGGCGGAAATCCTTCAAATAGAAATCAAGGCTGCTTTGGAAGTAAAACATGCCAATCCTTTTATTTGGATGATAAGTATGCCTTGTAACCTACCTTACTGATTTCCAACATTAGAGGAAACTACAAGGGCCGCGTCATCGCTTCTTTTTTCTCCAGGCGAAGTTGATTTTCCTGGGCTATTGATTCAGCCTCTTCTGGCCTGCACTTATGGTTGCTGTGCATATGGCGCCTGAGCTGATCTAACCGATGGAAATCTTTGTTGCAAATGATGCAGACATGTGAGCCCCGGTTGTTATGGGTCCGGCGATGCTTTGAAAGATTGGATGATTCTCCAAACGTCTTGCCACATATATCACACACCAAAGGTTTGTAGCCAGTATGCGTTCGCTCGTGCATGGCTGAATCAAGGGTTAGAATAGCCTGGGAGAAGATGGACTAGGATGACTTACTAAGTGCGCTTTGTTGTTTAAAAGCATGTTCACAATCTGGATACGAGCACTTCCAAGGCTTTTCGCCAGTGTGTGTCCTCATGTGTTGATCGAGAGACTGCTTTGCGGAGAGATGCAGGCCGCAGACGGAGCATGTAACAGGTTTGTCTAGGAATGGTTAGTAATCAAAGCGTAACACAGCGCCGTAGTTGCCAAAGCAAATCGGTTCACTTACATCCTGTGTGAGTTTGGATATGGCGTTCCAGCTTGCTCTTTTGACCAAAAACATTTGTCCTGGTGCAGTCATTCCATTGACAGCGAAACCCCGGACGTTGTCGTGTCATGTCCTTTAAGTGATCGTTCTTTGTGTGTGTATGCAAGTCGCTTGCATCCTTAAACCGCATTCCACAGATTTTGTCACCAGCCATCTTCCACTGGCAGATACAATCGACAGCAGTCTCTGCGTCTGCAGCTGTGACCGAAACTGGCGCTGTTTCGGTTGATTTTGCCTCAAAAGTTAGTTCCTCTGGCTGTGCGAGGGGAGTGGTTGCCCGTGATGTCGGAGAAGGAGCAATTGATGAAAGCGCAGACATATTTTGTATAGAAATATCTGATGGAGAAAACTGCAGTCCACTTGTTGAAGCTGTGTTGAAAGAATAAGACGAGATGCTCGAGCGGCTTGGGGCCAGAGAAAACCGGTCTTCTACCTGTGTTGTCTGGGGTAGGCCAAACGGATCCAAATTCAACATATGCATTTGCCAGTGGTCTTCAAATATATGGTTGGCAAACTGGTCGACTGTGTTGACCTCGAAGCCACATGTAAAGTCGTCTGCATTGTGTGAAAACCCATGGCTTAGGATACCGCCATTGACAGCTCTAGGAAGGGTACATTTCGGGATAGCTAGGTCGGGATGGTCAGCTATACATGGACGAACATGATCTCGAGTATTCCGAGGGTCGTGGTATTGGAGAATATGCGTTGCTAGAGGGTTCTCTTGGTGCAGATATTCCCAAATCTGCTCAAGGCTATCGTCGCCGGCGGCTGTTGGCGAATATTCCTGCGGCAGCGCATGGCTGCAGGTCGACCCTGCAAAGCAAGAATGGGATCCAAAATCTGTATCTGGATGAAAGTGCTGGAAGCCGTCTTGTATCAATGCCGGGTGAGTGTCCCCTATAGAAGCGAGAGCTGCTGCTGCTTCCTTGTCACCATCTGACATGGCTTCGTTAGGAAAATGGTCCAGCTTAGCAAGGCTTGAACATTTCGCATCTGTACAGGGCGTAGCAGCATCCTCGCACGCCTCATCGAGGCAGAGATCCTGACTGTCTTCACATGCTTCACTGCATGCGTCATCATCACAGCACACTCCATGGCCTGTGTCTCCGCATTGGCTTGGGCAACTTATACCACAGCGAGATGTGCACGACACCACTGATACACAGTCCTCATCGCAATCCACCTTTGAGCTGGTTGGTTGATCCTGTGACTTATTACCAGACCAAAAGGAACGAGGGTCGGAAATCGCATTTATGAAATAGCTGTTGTCCCAGTTGGGAAAGGCGACCTCAGAATCTGGAAAAGAAAGATCCTGACTAGTATGGCCATGGCGGTCTTGCGGGTGTGCTTTAGCGGCGTGGTCCGAAAAAGCTGTCATGGTGAAATTCGTTGGCGGTGGCAATCTCGGCGAGAAACCTTTCAGAGACTTGAGTGTCTTGAAAGCGTCGGCAGAGACGATCGATCCTTGGGGGTCCAGGCATGAATCGTTGCGAAGAAAAGGATCTACTGAAGCTGCTGCCGCCGCCGCAGGATCGATAGTGCGATACTGCTGATTTGCATCTAAGAATTCGGAATATGCGTCATTATCAAAGTGGTGGGGGAGACGATTAAGGTCCATATGGGGACTGGAAGGCAAGTGGTCATCGTCCATGCTCTGCTGAATCGAGGCTTTTGTGAGTCGTCTACAAAGGTGCATCGTCATTAGCTAATCGAGCCGCGGCCGTGCCGGGGAGAAACAAAAAGGCACTGGGAATCTTACCCGAGAGAAACCTCGCTTTAGGAAGAACCTGAAAGAAAGGGTCAAAGGGGGTGAAAAGTCCAAAACTAGCTGGGCTGTATGGGGGAGCCTGGGAGATCAAAGTATCAAAAACGATCGAAATATAGATAGAGTTGTGCGCAAGATCCAGGGCGTGGAACCAAGGCTGTCAAACGCCGCAACGTGGGAATGTGCAGAGAGGCTGAGAGAGGGAAAAGGTAAAAAAGCAAAGGATGGGGTGCACAAGTTCTGCAGTTTTGCCAGCCTCGAGGCTAGAGTTGCTCCAAATGTCGTGCGCAGGCACAGCACAGGCGCAGGGAAGCAACGCCCGCCAGCTGTTGTGGCCCTGTAGCTGACCAACAGGGCGAGAACCTTGATGGTCTGCTGGTCGGGGCTGCTGCAACTTTTATGTGTTTTGCCGGCGAGCTGAGCCCCGCTGTAAATCCGGGCAGCGCTAGTGTGTTTGTGGGTAGCGGCTCAACCTCAGCCTTGAGTCTTGGGATTGCGTTGTAGACGTGCCGTTTCAGTTTGTACCTTGACTAAAAGGATGTTGTACGAGTATGGTTGTAAAGCACTATTGGCCTGCTTGAGTTGCACTTGATGTATGGAGCGTTCTCTTTAACAATATTGCACTAGATAATACTGCTTGAATAGGCATGCATATACAACAGACAATACGGTTGAGTTGTGAAGGAGTGACAGTACTTACACTGCTTGTACCAAGTAATCCCAACTTCTGGCTATCGACGTAGCTATGTAAAGAGGCCCAAAGGAAGGTACATTGGGCACAGTGTGTGTGTACTATAAATTGGTTTGTTTTCTAGGTACCCAACTTGTAGAAAACGAGCATCCTTACCACACTTATCTCAGGCCTTATGCTTTCACTGATACCGTCGTTTTCGGCCTTTCAACCACGTGGCATCACCAATCACGAAAGCATAAAAAAAAAATTCATTAATAGTCTATCACCACACAAAAAAAGACAAATCCTTATTTATTCATCCTCCTGGGCACAAAATCCCACCATTGCACGTACTAATGATCGCGTTCCAGGGTAGCAACCTCCCGTTCCTGGAGCCATAACCAGGAATAGGTAGTACCCCGCTTAAAGTCCCTGCAACTTCCAAGCCCCCCGTCTAGCCTCGCAGTGACGTCTCCCCCCTTCAAACAGGGCGCCAGTCCAGTAAGCTTCTTTTTATTTCCAAACCACATGCAAGCAGCCGGCGCGCCGCATCACCTATTGCTGAGCCGTCGCATCGGATGCTGTTTCAAATTCCGTGAATCGCCCATCTCTACAAGCAAAAGAGACACATAAAATATGAGCATTAGACGCACCTAGAGCCCTCCACTGCCTTTGCGACAACCGCCGGCCCCATATCCCCAGTGTCGCGTTATCGCATTTGCGCCTACCACTATCCCAGCACCACTGTCCAACAACCAACCGCACTTCAATTCTCCCTTGCTTTAGCAGCTCTCCCTCCCTTACCTCCCAAGTACTTCACAGCCATGGGCAACATCTGCGGCAAAACCGAATCCGAGCCATCTCAGCCCGGCCGTCCCCTCGGCTCCGCTCCGCCCCCGGGCCCGAAAACATCGCGCGTCCCCCCGAAAGTCGGCGGTCCTCCACGAACACTCGGCGGTGCTGGCAGCGACGTTGGAAGTGGTGTTAGCAACTCGAGCGATCCGAGCGATGCGCGAAGGAAAGCTGCCGAGGCGGCCGAGGTGAGCAGATAAGACCACCTTTGTGTACCCAAAAAGTTTTTTTGTGGCTGTTGACTGATACTCTTTGTTCTTTTTTTTTTTGGCAGGCCCGTGCAAAAGCCTCATCGAAAGGCGGCAAACTCCAATCGCAGCTCAATGCGCAAAAGAAGCAGAACCGGAACAGTACCCTAGCCGAAGCGAGCAACCAGGAACTTCGTGCCCGAGACGCAGACGAGGCCGCCAACGCGCGAAATTGGGAGTAATAGCGAGCTACCTACATCCTTACGCATTACACACAACGGGCGGTTTTTTATAGTTTGGCTTTTAATTCTTTTGAAGATACCTTGCGCGATTTCATGTGAGCGCGAAGCAGTGGATGCGTGCGGAATGTTAAGAGAAGGATAAAATGCTTCTGATGACGACGACGCATGAAGACCGTTGTACCGTTGATATTATTTTTCTTCCTTTTTCTTGACTTGGAGCCTCACCATCCTGCAGTTGCTGCCCTTTCAATTCCCTGTTTTTGTACTGTATTGCTACTGTAAAACTACGTCTTGGATTAGATTCGTCCAAACACAAGCCAGAAGAGCATGCGAAATGGAAAGCCTCAAATATGCTTGTATATAAAACTTTATCACCACGATTATACTTATTCACTTATACCAATACCAACCCAGACGTCCTTTCGTCTCGTATATAGATACTACTATAATATAATTAATGTGAAAATAATAGCCCTTCCCTTTTGCGCCCGATTTCTTTTCATAGCCCGATTTACAAAAACTTCCACGCCTAGTAAGAAGCTCCAGGTCCTTAAGTGACGGTATATCTTCCACTCGCAGGCGCTCTGCTATCTGCATCAGCAGCAGCAATGGTACCTTCTCTCAGAAGCCTCGTCATCTCATTCAAAGCACCCGCCACCACAAGCTCCGTATCACCCTCAATGAGAATATACAGCTTGGGCTCTCCTCCAGCTGGCACTTCTTTCCCGGGAGGATAAAAGCTGCCCTTTGTCGTAATAGACGTTCCAGTTGCCTCCAGAATCTTCGCCACGTTGGTACGATTGGTGACGGCCCATCTGGCCTTTTGCGGGAAGTCGTTGATTTCCAGCGTGGCATGGAAAGCACCAGCGTCCGGACCCTTGTTATCGATGGGTTGGCCCGACCGAAGCTGACCAGCTTTGCCCAGACGGCTGTTGATGGCACTGACAGCAGAGCTGACCTTGTCCAGGGGATCCTTGGCCTTGTCGCCTGTGGCAACAGCAGATTGTGTCGCTTTGTTTGCGCCACCCTCTCCAGACTCGGGTTTGGCAATTTCGCGAGACTGAACGGTGGAGGTCGCAGCTTTGATGGCGTTGAGTGTCTTTTCAATCTTCTTGTCATCCTCCTCTTTCTTGCCCTCTTCTTTAACCTCTTCTTCCTCACCCTCGGCTCTATGTGTCTTGCGCTCTCGAAGACGAGCAGCCTCGCGTTCCTGGTCCAGACGGTCCAGACCCTTTCCACCAAAGCCGGAGGAGTCCTTCGCCTTGCCCGACTTGACCTTTTCACGATGAGACTTTCGCATCTCGTTGAGTCGTTCTGGAACAGGTTGGTCACTTTGTTCCAAGGCTTTGGCGATACCAGGCGCGCAATTCTCTTGTTCAGGGGTAACAAAAGTGACTGCTGTGCCCGTGTTTCCTGCACGACCCGTTCGTCCTGCTCGGTGGACATAGTCTTCCAAGTGATTGGGTGCGTCGTAGTTGATAACAAGCTTGAGCTGCTTGACGTCCAAGCCGCGAGCGGCGACTGATGTGGCAATGAGAATGGGTACCACGCCCTTCTTGAAGTCTGAAATGGTAGAGTCCCGATCAACTTGATCCTTGCCTCCGTGAATGGACATGCAAGGGTAGCCCTTTTGCATTAGCTCCTTGAGCAAGTCATCCGCCTTCTCCTGTCGCTCCACGAAGAGCAATGTTCGGGCATCCTCATCTTTGTCATAGAGCTCGCCTAGCAGCTCCAGAACACGCACAAACTTGGTGCTCTCTTCTCTAATCTCGACAATTTGCTCAATCTCCTTGGCAACGACGCTGCGGCCACCCACGGTAATTTCAATGGGACTCTTTAGTACTTTCTTGGTGAGTGAGTCGATGAGGCGTGGCATGGTAGCTGAAAATAGAATGGTTTGTCTATCCGGTCGCATGTTGGCAAAGATTTTCATCACCTGTGGCTCGAAACCCATGTCAAACATTCGATCGGCTTCATCCAGAACCACGTACGTCACTCGTCGGAGGTTGGTGACTCTTCCTTGGTTCGCGGCCAGCAGATCAATCATGCGACCGGGCGTACAGACAATGATTTCAGCGCCACGCTTGAGCTCAGCAATCTGATCTCGGATGGGAGCTCCTCCGTACGCACAAACGGCACGCAGGTTCATCATCTTCAAAAAGGGCTTGCAGTCTCTGTGAATTTGCGTGGCAAGCTCTCGCGTTGGTGTCATGATGAGGCCGATAGGGCCATCGTTATCCTTGAGCGGCTCTTGATCCTTGATATGTCGGAACATGGGAAGCAAAAAGGCCATAGTCTTTCCCGATCCCGTCTTTGCCACACCGACGACGTCTCGACCAGACATCAACGAGGGAAGGGCTTGCATCTGGATTGGTGTGGGCTTTTCAAATCCAAGGGAGCTAATAACATCCAGGGTTTGGCGGGTAAGACCACACTGGGCCCATTTCTGAACGGGCTTGGGGACGTCTTTGCCGTTGACCTTGATTCCATCCAGCTCCAATCGTAAATCGGTAACATCTGCTTCAGAAAGATTGTTCAGCTCGGCAGGTTCAACCCAAAAATTCTTGCGAATAGGCTGTAAGTCAATCTTGGAGTAATCGACGCTTGGAATATCCTTCTTCTTGCGTTTATTCGAAATGGTAAGTAGGGCATCTGCATTCGGGTCGGCTTGATCTTCGAAAGCATAGTCGTCCTCCGAGAAATACGCTTCAGGCTCCTGCTTCTTTTTGGTCACAGAGGCCTTCTTCGGGGGGTTCTTGGTGGTCTCTGCCTGTTTGAGATCATCCATGAACGCTTCTAGGGGATCGACTTCCTCGACTTCCTCATCCACATCCATGGACTCTGCTGGAGGTTTACTGGCGGTTTCTCCGTCGGCGGCATGCTCGCCATTGGTACTTTGTTCTGCAACTTGGGGCTCGGCATCCTTCATCTCTTCATCAGCCTGGTTCTCTGTCTGGTTTTCAACTTGGTTTTCGGCTTGAAGACGTCTTTCGTGAGCAGCACGGGCGGCGGCGGCAGCCTCTTCTTCATTTTCAGCGAAAATGTCGCCATCCGACTCATCGTCTTCATCTTGGTCAGCGTAGGGCGTGTCATCCGCTTCTATGGGGAGACTGGGGAGCTTCGTGAGTTGTCGTTTAGTTGTAATCTCCTCATCCATGTCCAATTTCCGCTTGCTGGTCAGCTTGTCTCCTTCAGCATGGGACTTTCCAAATCCAAAACTGCTAGTCTTGGCGCGATTTGTGGGAAGGGCGGATGCTTGATAACATTTGTTAGAGAGGGTCAGATCTTGCATGGCAGATGTTGTTGAAGTCTCACCAGTAGGTGCTCGCTTAGCGGGGGCAGGAATGCTGCTTGGCTGAATATCTATAGATCCCAAAGCTCCCCCTTTAGTAGAATCAGATGATTTTTGATGGCTGGCAGACTTCTTCGCAATCGTTTTTGGATCAAACTTGCCGATATAAGGCTTTGCTGGAGATGCGCTGCCCGAGTCAACAGGAGTGGGTGAAGCGGCAGATGATACAACAGGCGATGGCGCAGCCGTCGATCCCTCTTTGGCTTTCTTGTCCATCTCAGCAAGGAGATTTCTCGTCTGGCTGGCATTCACCTCTTTTTGCTTCTGCCCCTCGAGCTCTTTCTTCTTCTTCCATGCTTCAAGCTTGGCGAGCCGCTCTGCCTTCTTATCGACCTCGGGCTGTGCCGCATTCGATTTGGCCTTTTGAGCCTGTGATGTGTCATGAGCTCTAGTTTCCTTATCCGGAACCAGAAGAAAACGTACCTCATCAACTCCATTCCTGCCACTGTCGGCCAGTGGAGTTTTCCGAGACCGACTGTCGGCACGGCTGCTGCGATTGTGAGAGTCAGCCGAACCCTCACGACGGCTTCTGTTTCTAGAGTCGTCTCGCCTCCTGTGGTCATCTCTGCTGCGGTCTCGTCTTCGGTCAGGCGAGCGGGGCCTGGGGGGTAGTCTCTCTCTCGATCTGGCGCCACGGCGATCGCGTGGCCCTCCGCGGTAGAAGTCATCGTCTCGGCGATCTAGGGAGCGGTCTCGTCGGCGGAAGTTATCACGGTCGCGATCGCGGTCACGGCCAACACGATCTCTGTTGTCTCTGCCTCGGTCGCGGTCGCGGTATCGATACTGTGGGTTGTTCAAGCTTCTGTCAGACTCATATCCGTGTGTATAGGAATTGCCCAAATTGGAGCGGAAGTGGAATAAACTAACATCCGGGCTGCGCGACCTTGAGCGCCGGCGCGAGTCCCTTCCATCGTCTCGGCGGTCTCTGGCATCCCGCCGGTCGTCATCTTTCCGGTGGCGGCGCGAGTTGTAATGGCTGCCTGCAGGACTTGGTGAGCGCGAGTCTCTTGGCCGAGCCATTGTTGTGGTCTCGCAGGCTCGGTAAGACACTACGTTGTGTGAGTACTACTTTTGTTTTGTCTCCAGGCGACCCCAAGTCTCCTTTGTTCCTCTTCTCTTTCCAGTGGCGAGTTTTGAGAAACGCGAATCGATATCCGATATTTGGCCCAAACGACGTATTGATGGTGATCGATGCCGGTCGTAGAATGCAGCCGATCAAACCAATTCTAACGCACAGCTCGTGTGCTGAAATTCAAAAAATGGCGACGCAATCTGAAGGGCGATATTAGATGAAACGACGATTGAATGTTGAGACGGAGGGGAGTTGACGTGCCGTCACAAGTGTTGGGGTCAGAAGAGGCCCGCTGAAAAGTTGCTTGAAGTTGTAGGACAGCCGAGCTTCAGCCGACGGAGTCGGGCGCCGCGACGATTTTACTGCGCTAATCCCCATGTGGTCTCAGCAGCTTGTCGCGCTCTCACTCAATCTTGCATCTGCTTTCTCGTCTAAGCTGACTTCATCAATTCAAACGCAATGGCCGGGCTTGTTGGGTATGCAAGTTCTGATGAAGAAGGAGAAGATGAGCGGCCTCAATTGCAGCAGGAGACTGCCCAGGTATTTATACATGTCGAGCTTGTGTCTGCGCAACAGCATTTTGTGACTAACACGCTGATAGGTCGCCGCACAGGCAGCAGCTGCTGAGACTGAAAAGGATGCGCCGCGAATAAGTGAGCGTCTACAATTCAATGAGGAACAGAGCCCCAAAGATGAATCAGAGACACGGGATGAGTCTTCATCTTCACCGAAACAAGACTCTGATCGCCACCCACCAACTACTATCGGCCCCGTGCTCCAGAGTGCTGTTCCTCTGGGTCCATCTCTTCCACCTGCCGACGCCTCCATCACAAATGCCCTCCCAGACCCGGATGAATCTCAAGAACCGCCTGCATCTCCATATTCCGCAAACCGCGCTTTGATACACGACCTCACCCTCCCCTCCGTACCTAATCTTGACATCCCGCCTTCGCCACCAGGGTCTCCTCCACTGGGGGCTAACAAGAAAGTCGATCAGTTTCTGCAACTCAAGAAAAAAGGCGTACACTTTAACTCCAAGCTTGAGCAATCTACTGCGTTAAGGAACCCTTCATTAATGGATAAGCTACTGGACTTTGTCGGCATTGATGAAGTGGGCCAGTACGAGACGACGCTCCCAAAAGAGTTGTGGGATCCAAGAGGGTTTCCAGAATGGGCATTCAGGGACAAGTTGAGCAAGAGCAGGGAAAAGATTGCTAAAGAGAAGGAGGCGGATAGGACCGGTGGTGGCAGAACAGCCATTGATTTTGTTGCGTCAAATTCTTCATCCAGCGGAGCTGCTGCTGGCGTGCCAGGAGGGCTTAACAGTAGAGGCGAAAAACGCAAAGGAGGCTGGAAATGATGACTACGAACATACACATATAGCGAGGGCATGGATACAAACGAGCGAAGATATGGATGCAAGGAATTTATTGAACAACTAAAGCAAAAGCATATAATCTGCTTAGCAGAGTATAGCAGATTATACAGACATACCAGGGCTGGATAAACCCCTTATTAATAAAATTGCGTGGCCATGGGCGGCCCTACACTACCTTGTAATACAAACATCTACATCGAGGTATCATGAATCAAATGCGTTGTGGCTGAGGACTTCATAGCACGTCTTCTTGTTCGTTCCCATTCCTTAAAATAATCACTCAGAAAGTGAAATGGTATATGCAACCCAGCACCGAGGACACGCAATAGCAAACATCATCCACAGTAAAAGAAGAAGTATTTTTGTAGCGACAAAAATTGAAACCAAAACCCCCTCCCTTCCCTCCACCAGACACCATCTCCAGGCACAATTATAATAGAGAATAAAAGGATGTCGTGAATAAGTTGTGTTTGAGCAATTCGCTCAACTCAACCACTGGTACTGGAAAACTTATGGTTTTCTCAGTTTTAGCTGGACTTGGGGCAGCTGATAGTAGTGCCGAGCGAGTTCTTGATGATGCTGCCAATGTCCATAGGGACAGTCTCGTTGTTGGCAGACAGGCCGTCGAGGAAGTACTGGAGTGTCTGGCCATCCTTGACAACAGCGGAGCCTCGGAGCTTGACGGGGATGATTCCAGTTTTGCAGTACTTGGCACTCTGAACTGCCTGAAGAACAGAAATCTGATCGAGATTGGCGGTGATGGGAACCTTGTTGCTGCCAGGGACAAGGAGAAGGTTGGGGATGGTAAGATTACCAATGTTGGTGTTGTCAATAAAGTTGGTAAACGTGGCGTTGCCCTGGAGTAGTGTGTCAGCACGGCAAAGGAAAATAAAAGTTTAGATTTATCAAGCGCTCATATTGCTCAACTTACAATGTCAAGAGTGAAATAAGAAGCATTGGGGATATCAGCGGTGGCCTTGAAATTCGGCTGGCCCTTCTTGGGGCTGATGTTGATCTTTCCGCCATCGACTGTGGTGCCATTGAATAGATTCAGACCCTTCATGTTGATGGTCTTCTTGAAAGTGACGCCGAACTTGGTGGACAGGCCAGACGGCTTGACCTTGGTCCTTCCGTACACGGTGACGTTGAGAGTCTCGTTGGCGGCGAACCAAATGTTGAAGGTGTTGAAGGCGTCGTGGTCTCCAATGGTAATATCCTGGCTGATGTTGACGAGCTGGTGCTTGTCACCGTTGGTCTTGGGGAAGGAGATGTTGAGGAAAGGAGTCTGGCCAGGGAGATCCTCGAGGTACATGACACCGTCAAAGCCATCGATGTTGGCCTTGATGGAGCCATCGGTGGTGATGGTGGAGTTGATTTGCAGGGTGATGCTGTCAGGCTTGGTGTTGATGACGTTGACGCCCTGGATTTCCAGCTTGGCGTCGTTGACCTTTTGCTGGGCGATCTTGGGAACTCCAACGAAGATGCTGGGGTCGAAGGTTAGCGAGATGGATACACGTTTTCTCGTTTTGAGGCGAGTCGCGTCAACGAGTCTCACAGAGTATGACACTTACACGAGGCAGACCACCAGGACAACTATGCATATCAGGACGAGCAGATATGCCCACCAAAAGCGCTTCAAATGGCCCAGACATCCTCTCTTCTTGGGCGCAGCCGCGGGCGCGACAGGCTGATCAACTCGGCTCTCGGTCTGGTAGACCTCAGCGCTCTCGTTCTCTTCCTTGTTGGACATTTTTTCTGATTTCCTCTTCGTTACTGAAATTGACTGGGGGTTGTCGGATTAAGCGAGAGCGAATCGGCTCGACTCTACTAAAGATGAAGAAAAAATCTGGGGGATCCCCGAGCGCGTTTCCGTCCTACGCTGTATATAAAATATGTGCCTTTCCACAAAAAAAAAAAAAAGAGGCCTTCGTTCCAGTGGTTGGCGAATTAGGTGACGGCGGTTTAGAGAATCAACAACTGCCTACAGCCCTCATTGGCCCTTGGAAGAATTTGGTGATGGTGGTGGCGGCAGCCGGCAGATGGAAGGATGGCGCACGCAGAACCTCCACAAAGCAGCAATGAGGGAGGAAAAGCAGGGCCGGGGGTGCAACTACGAGAACGATTTGGAGATCGCAATGTTTAAGTATCGAGCCAGCGTGGGCGAGACACTGACATGGGACCGGCGGAAGGTCAAAAGCGAGCGAGCAGGGGCAAAAGATTGGCGACCAGGGAGGGTCATGTCATGGCGGCCCTAGAGCTCTGTGCCAGCTGGAGGAACAGCGAAAGGTATTTCTGGCGATGGAGCGTGTGCCTCGCCGCCGGTGACCCAGGTTCCTCGTCGCGCATCTGCGGCTGCAAAGATACCTGATCCCCCCTCCCATCTTTTCCCCTCGTTCAACCACAGGTACCGGCAGCAGCTAAACTCCTTCACCCTCCACCATTACGCATCGCGAAGCTTTTCAGCAACCGGGAAACTGCTGCTGGATCTGGTGCTCGTTTGGCGTAGGCCGCCGCCCCGGTCTTCTGCGTCCAAACCTGCTCCACCCACCTCTTCGTGACGTTCCCTGTTCATCTGCAACGCCTAGCCCTGACTCGGCGTAGATGCGCCATCCTACCAGCCAGTCACGGCCGCCAATCTCCACCACCCCCAGCGAATGCAGCGATTTGCAGCCAGCTAGACCCGGTACATTGCGCTCCAAGCCCAGCGCGGAGGCAGCGCGTTAAGCCGCAACGAGACGAGCCCCGAGGCGCCGCAAGCCTCCCCGCAAACGCAGCAGCGACCTGTGCGTTACCACCGCTGCTGTGCGAGTACCGCTGCATACCCTGGTAGCTACCGGGTACCTTTGTCTGGGGCACGAGTCGAATACAGGTAATTGCTGCAGCTCGTACTTGTTTGTCTGGATGTGCGCTACCACACCTGCGCCGCGCCACCAACTCCCAACACGGCGCCCTCGACTGCCAGTGCAACAGCCTTCACATCGACATGACGAGAATTGCATGGATGTCTGCAGCTGCCGGCCACTAGGAGGGAGATCCCTCGGCTGTTTGAAATCGCTGGGTCGCTGCGTCACACGTGAAAGTCGATGCTGATGCAGAGCTGCGAGGGGAAGAGCTGGCAGAGACAGACAGGTGTCGATCGTATATTCCCAGCAAGAACTATAAGCGAACTGACTTGTGTACTTCCAGGCATACAGTACTATCAAACGACTAGCTATCAGAAGAAAGGAAAGTAAGAACAAAAAAGATTCGATTCCAAAGCACCCCCTACCCGATGGTGGCCCAATGATTGCATGTCAATTACACGAACGGCACGTCGAGATAAATTTCTTTCGCACGCGACCCTGCTCGCCCCGTCGAAGCCTAGTGGGCTCTCTCTTGGGCTCCGCTACGTTGGCCTGGCATCGAAACCACCTCCTACGAGCAGTATTTCGTACGTACGAGGTATTGCAAGCAAGCACTAGCAATAGGATCATGCCATGTGTCTATGCTACTGAGTGATATTGTTGCACACGCATGTACGAAGTGCATGTCGATGCCAAGATAGGCCACTGCAGCATGCACGGACTGCAAAAGCTTGTCAAACAACGGCCATGTTAGACAACATCCTTGACAGCGAGGCTACGGTTTCAAAATACTTTTTACTCTTCGACCAATTCCAGTCACGCCCAGTGGCAACTGCGCAGAAAAAAGGGGCCTCTGAACAGCCCAAGCTAGGTCAAAGGGCCGAGTAGGAGAAACATGGCCAATCTGCGCCATAAAAAAGAGGACCGGCGGTACAGCTAAAAGTAAGCCGCTTCTCAATGCGACGACGAGGCTCCACAGCTTCCACACGACCTTACCAAAAGCCTGCAGGAGATGATTCCTGACTGGGAACCGTTCCGGCGAGCCACCGGGCCGCGAGACCCAGAATTAAGAGCGCCACCGCATCTCATCATCTCTTAAAATGCACTACGGAGTAAAGCTTGTCAGAATATCTCCATATCAAGTGTACAATTAGGAAAATTAGGACAAAAAGCTCGATGTTGATTGCGGTGACAACAACAAGACGGAGAAAAGAAAGAGAATGGAGGAGGAAAATCAACAATATTGCTTGACTAGGATCTCCACGCCCAGAGATCAAGAGCTGAAGCTCTCGGTTAACACTTTTTGGCAGGAAGGAGAGAGAAAAATTTGCGTCTCTATCAAGGGGCAGATGTGCAAAGCATGCATGCAACTCTGCATTGGTAACGTCTGATCAGTGCATCGTCTTGATGAGATCGTTACACCGAGCCAAAGATGAGATGACAGTGGCTTTTTGCTTGCCAGCCAGTAGGACCTGATCCTGCCCTGGTCTCGGCCGATGCGACTCATGCGGGGACAAGCTGTCGCCTTGAGAAAACGGCAGCTAGTCGACACGATTGGCAGAGCGGAAATAAACGGCCTCCACTCTTCCTTATATGAGACTCTTATCAGGAAAAAGAATTAGCCCCAATCATAGCTATGAGATGCTGTAGCCAAATTGTGGTTGGCGAATCCTTTGCGTCTCGGCCATGATGCGAACAATTTCAGCTTGGAAGCGTGCTGCGTCGCCTCATCGCCAGCTTGCGCAGAAACAGAGGCGTCGGTGTCACATTGCATACCCGCCCTGCTTTAAACCACCACTGACATTATTTCGACAATGCTCCGACAGCCTCTTTTGCTAGCGGTGCGGCTCCACATACCGTCAAATTTTTGTCGGTAGACCCAGCGGCGTCAACTTGGGGGGCTGCAGTTCAGCCAATCGCGGACTCCCGATGTTTTTGCTCGATATTAGTCTGGCCACGACAGGATGGTTCATGTGCCATAAAATATTTGCCACAGCAAACCTAATAGTTTGCTACAACGATTGCTTGCGATTTGGTTGTTGCTGCGTATTAGGCCCTTTCAAGCTACCGCGCTGTGATCGAGCCATGTCGCATCGTCGGAAGCCCGGATACCCAAGATATTGGACTCGCCTTATTACTTGAGATCAACGAATGGCACTATCTGTGTGAACTCTAGATGAGTCTACGAGCTTGCTATTGGAGAATCTCTTTCCCGGCATTTGCGAACAAACTCGAGGGTATGGCCGCTGCAGTACCACGATAGTATGCAATAGCCTGTACTTGGCGTTGGATGCTCTAAGAATGCGCTTCGGCGACCTTATACGAGAAATAGACCACGAGCAAGCAGAGCTCTTCGGCCCACCCGATAGAGTAGACGAAGAGTTACGTTATGAGTCTCTTTCTGAGCCACACCAAGTCTTGGGATCCTTGACTCTTGCTCACGCATCCCTTACATTAGCAGACTGCAACTGCGATAGTCTATGGTGTCAGGCTTACCGGATTCAGCTGCACCACATGCCCATTTTGGCTGTGATACAGGCGCCTCTCGGCCACGCCAAGTCTGTCCACGAGCCACCGTTACTGCACCTGCGCTTGGAGTGTATTCTGCAACAGCTCACTTGTTTCAATATGGCGCTCACTGCTCGTGCTCAGACCAAAAATAACTTATACGAGCCGGTGTGAAGAGGGGGCTAGGGTGTAATCCAGGATTTCGCCTACAGCTATAGACTACTACTACTATTTTACCCCAAGGACAAGGCGCCAGTACCAAGTGGGTTATCAACTCACAAGTCATTGTACTACAAAGACTCGTTTGCAGTAGCTGTATCTACTAACGGAGTAATTTCAAATAGGGCATCAATTGAAAGCTAGCACAGAGATTGACCGCCTCGAAGAAGCGGTGCCACCCTATCGTCATCGCTGATCCTGATCATCACGACAGTTCCAGAGATGGCACTACCACCGGGGAAATATTGGGCATCGCAAGAGTTTCTCCAAAGGTACATGTCGGTATATCTTATTGCCTACATTAGCTGCATCACAAGCTCGCCGCATGTGAGGCCTCGCTCGGAATCATGCCGCACGAGTGTACCAATCCAAGGCTGTTTCGACTAAATATCTCGCTTGCTTATTCGCTCGCTCGCTGCCATTTCTAGTCAAGAATCCTGAGAGCCAACCCCAACCACAGCCACGCCCAAATAGAACTAGTTCTCGCATCTCAATCTTCCCCAGCTTTGATCTTTCGCAGCCGTAGATGCTGCAGAGATGAGCTGCTGCCAGCGCTAGTGGTTGCGCACCCACCCGCCCACTCACCCCGCCGTCAGCCATCACGAGCTGCCGAGGATGCATATGAAGATTCATCTCCTCACAGCTTCGGCTTCGTCCACAGCCCTTGCCTGTCCAGCTCCGCATCTCCATCGAAAATATCTCTCTCCACACGGCGAGTGTTGATCTGGGGCCCCGACAATTAGCTGCTGTAACCAAGGATCGCCAAGATTTCAAAGATCCTGGGGGCGTCATTTTCTCGTTTTCTAGCCTCCCCCAGATTACTCCTTTACCAGGGGCAAGCGGTGAGGCTAGAGGATTGGACGATACTTACAAATCTGGGGCCGAGCTCTTGTACGTTCTTTGCTCCGAGGAGCCTCATGCATGTGGCAGTCTCCGCCGAAAGAACTATTCAGGGCCGACATCGCCCGAGTCGTTAGAAACCTTGTCTTGTTTACTTATTGAGAAGTGAAAGAGGGGAAGAGGGGAATGCACAACGATTGACATGGAACATCATGACGTGGTTCAATGGGGCATATTCGCCATGGGAATTCCATAGCACCACCGTCATGATAAGCACAACTCGCTCATCACAAGAATGATTATACCAAACGCCATCACTTGCCATGTGGGGGATTGGGGAACCAACTCACTTTCCAATGTTCGCTCTACGCCAGCCTCGCCTCCGGCTCCAAGGCCAAACAATGCGGCACGGCCAATGCCCACAGCTTTGGCACCGAGGCAAAGGGCCTTGACAACATCGGTACCCCTCTTGATTCCACCGTCGACCCAAACTTCGATCTTGTCAAATACTTCAGGGCAATACTTTCTGATCTCGAGCAAGACGTGAACGGGAGGTGAAGCTGTGTCAAGAGCTCGCCCACCGTGGTTGGACAGGATGATGGCTTTGACCTGTGGTGCGTATTTGGCGGCAAGGTAAGCATCCTCATACGTGTGAACCCCCTTGAGCACGATTGGCAGGTCTGTATGCTTTGCTAGCCACGGTAGCGTCGTCTGCCATGTCAAATCGCTGGCTGTGCCGAAGAAGAGCTGCTGACCGACACCGCCGCCGCCGGGTCGCTTCTCTGTGCCGCCTTTGACACCTGGCTCAACCACCAGTCCTTTGTCAAAGTTGGATTTCTCATCAATCTCACGCTTGCCAGGGACAGCCGCGTCGAGCGTCAGAACAATAGTCTTGTATCGGTCTCTCATCTTGTGGATGCGTCGCAGCATCTCCTCGCTCCTTTCGCGGCGGTTCTGGACATACAGTTGCCATCCAAACATCTGACCCGGCTTTGCTTCGGCAGCAATTTCCTCCGGGGTCATTGAGGAGTTGTTGGAGACGAGCTGGAGAGCACCGAACTTGGCTGCCGCTCTGGCAATGCCCAGCTCGCCGTCTGGGTGAGCTAACCTGGCCATGGCGGCTGGGCTGATGTATATGGGAAGGCCGACTTTGTGGCCGAGAAGAGTCGTTGACAGATCGCATTGCGTACAGTCGACGAAGACACGAGGCCGTAGTAGGATGTCTCGGTATACTGTATTATTAAAGGATTTTGTGATCATGTCGTCGCTGGCAGAGTAGTAGTAGGCCCATCCTTTCTTGGGAATTCGTTTCGTGGCCTCGGCTTCTATTTCGTCGAGGTTCAGAAGCGTCTCTAGCGGTGCCGGAGCATCGTCGTCTTTCTGAGCCGGCGCTTCTGGCTTCTTTGCTACCAGCGTCTTGGGATCGACCGTGCCCAGCTTCGCCTCGGGCTTGAGCTCGTCCAGCGTGCCCGACGGGTGGATGGGATCAAACTCCTCGGTGGCATCCTGGCCGGCCAATTGGAGGATCACCTTTGAACCGCCGGGATGCGAGGAGAGGAAGTCGGTCACATCGTACACGTTTCCGTAGAGGATCACCCAGCAGCTATCGGCGGAGTTGTGCTTCGCGACTACAAATCGACGAAAGCTGTCGGTAAGCAACCCAATTTGCTTAAAGTTGAGGGGAACATCCAATTATTGGTTGCAAAAGTGGCGCCATACCTTCGGCAGCATCGAATACTTTGGCCATCTTGGCAGTTTTCTATATCTCACTACTACAGCGGCAGCGAGTCTACGACGAGTGTTGGAAGTGACATTGACGCTATTCTGTCGGCTCCAGAGTGCCGTCACCTTGTCTATTAATGAAAACGACGCAGCGGACCCCATGCGTGTTTCCATTCGCCGAGTTCGCCCTTGCGGTTAATGGCCGCCCCGGTAAACTTGTGGCCTAGCGTGTGGGGAGACTATGGGAGAGCTATTCGTGCGTGCAAACTTCCCACCAATGAAGGCTGTGCTTTCGGTAATACGTGCTACGTTGTTCGGGTTGGTTACTCGCGAGAAAGGCCTGCCTTACGTGCAGTACCTCGTATGATATAGAGTGGATTGTATTGCATCTGTGTAAACACTGTACTTGTAAGAGCGATGATGGGCTAACCAAGATTCAATGTCTTTCCTTCTGATTACAAGTATACGAATTGAGTCTCTAGCCAATGATTGAATTGCTCCATAGAGCATTAAGCTTTTAGCAGCATAGATCCCAAGTCGCCTATCGCGTAATTGGTCATGGAGTTGATTTGGCGTCCTAGATTTGTCCGGTAATTATCCAGGATGCACCCCGACTTACAGCTCTATCCGAAACCGGGGCTTTTCCCATTGGATAGGCCAAAGATAGCAATATTGAGGAAACCATAGGCCTATCTTTCTTTACGATATACTGTTTGCGGCCACTGCGGCATTCCTCTGTGAATTCGTTTGTCTCTTCTACGCCGCGGCGTTACTGTCAATAATAGCCCGCGTTTAGCCGCGCATTTCCTATTTGAGAAGAGACCTCATTTTCAATTGCCGGAATCTCCACTTAAAAGAAAATAATCCATTTTAGGAAAACATGGTAACAGTACCATGAAGCCTTTACTTGTCATGATATGAGAAAGAATCGGGACTTGGCTGGAGAAATTGGCGATTGTGCGATTGCTCTGCTTTATTCTTGACATGCTCAGCAGTTGAGGGCATGAATATCGAAGTGCTCTGCATGATATCAGGTTAGATACGTGGCGTTATAATTGTTCTTTTATCTTCTTTCCTTTTGGAACAGCCAAGGCAGAGTGAAAAGATTGGGCTCAATATTCGTTTTCCATTCTTGAAACATTGCTTTAAAAAGTGTTTTACAATAATGAGCTTATGATTTTGTCTAGAGTAATTCTCTCATGATTTCCTGTTCTGCCTATGATACATGCATGTTATAATACGTATATTCGCCGGCGTCGTCCTTGTATGTCTTTGTCAAGCAGAGGTTCATCTTCTTGAATGCAATTTCGAGTCATTCCAAAAACAAGCTTGACGAGTTTGACGTAGCTCTCAAGCTTGAAGAAACTACGATTGATGATACTCTTAAAGTCAACCTCATTCTAGCGAACATACGGTGTAATATCAGATTCTAAAGCATGCAATGCGGCAAATGGTATGGCACCCAAGGTCGCATTATCGAAGTACACGCGCAAGGGATAGCAAGAACACAGGTACCAAAGGTCCTACCGTGTCATATTTCTATATTTCTATAGCGGGAGCAGTAGGAGAAGTAGAATTAGCGAAATAATGGTGTGCGTGATAGTGGAAGCTGTATGCCTATGGCTGTAGTCTTCCCTATATTTTTTACTTTCCATTTGTCATCATAGTCTCGTATAATATAACATAAGCCTTCATTCTACCTGTCTCTGTTCAGACGAGTCCTTAACGCTTTTCCGCCACCGCTTTAAAACCTTACTGTACCTTTTCGTCTGAGGATGATCTCGCCCAAATATCTTTTCCAGGCCAGCAACACAGTCTGCCATCAGCGCTATAGCCTCGCTCATTCTGCATAAGCCTTCTAAAGCAAGGGAAAGGTTGCCCATGAAGGCCAATACATTGGTGTGTTCTTCGCCTAGTTTCATCTTGCTTGCCTCTAGTGCTCGCATGCCTAATTCCTCGGCCTGTTTCCACCTTTTTTGTCCTTGGTAAACCAGCATAAGGTTATATGAAACTCTTAGTGGAAGCTCATCGCCTTCTCCTAGTACTCTTGTCTCTGTTCTTAGGACATGTGTCCCAAGAGCCTCTGCTTTTTCTAATAGGCCCTGAAAATAATATGTGTACACTAAGTCTGACATACTATTGAGCGTGCGTAGATGCTCTTCACCCCAAACCCTCTTCTGCATCTCCACGGCCTGTATCCCTAGTTCTTCTGCCTCCTTCAATCGGTGCTGCTTCTGGTATACCGATGCCAAATCAGACATGCAACTCAGCGTAAGAATGTGTTCCACCCCCAGAACTTTCTTGCTTGACTCTAGTATCTTAAGCAATAGGCCTTCTGCTTCTTTCACTCGACCTTGAAATTTATATATCAGTGAAAGGTTCATAAGATTTTGTAGGGTACCTTGATGCTCTTCGCCCATTACTCTCTTGGATGCCTCGCAAACCTGATTCTGTAAGCCTTCTGCCTCTTTCCACCGATTTTGCCCATAATATGTAAGTGCAAGATTGCGCATGACCGTGAGCGTACATGGATCCTCTTCCCCTAGCACCGCCTTGCATTTCTCCAGTGTTTGCACCCCCAAGATTTCCGCCTCTTTAAATCGACTCTGGTATCGATACGCCTCAGCGAGGTCGCACATACATCCGATTGTATCTGCGTGATTCTCTCCTGAGACTCTCTTACATATTTCTGTTGCCCGTATGCCTAATTTTTCTGCTTGAACCCCATCGCCTTCACAAAGAAAATACGCTGCCATTCGGTTTAGAAGTCCTGCTACATCTTCACCACTGTCAAACCCTGCGTTTTTCGTTAATACCGAAGTAGCATGGGGGAGGTATCTCATGCATATTTTGCGAGTTTCAAACTTCGCATGTGGATAATTAGCCGACATTGTCTTCATAGCAGATTTGGCAAACTTAGCCGCCCGGCCCTCGTTAATAACCCACTTTTGGGTTACGAGCTGCACCAGTCGGTGCATGGTTAAGCTTTTATCATCTGCTTCTGAAATAAAGGAAAAAGCTTTAAGTGTACCCAGCGCCTTTATAAGTACTGCTGTTGATAATGTATCGCTCTTGGTCTGCTCTTGGCATCTCTGCTGGTAATAATCCTCCACAAAGACCCTTGGAATTGCCTGGAAATGGAAGAAGCTTAAAAATGAGAGAATGTCGCTTGTCAAGGCATCTTTTTTCTTGATTTGTTCAAATGAGATCATCCAAGTTGCGGTAACCGCGTGCGGAGTTTCTGAGTCTCTCCCCACTGTTTCAAATGACTCACTCAGTTGGTCAATAAACGCAGAATCACTCTCGTCTAGGAGTTGAACATAGTCATCGATCGAGATTTCGTTTTCCTGGATAAATGAAGCAGCTTGCGCAAGGGCAAGCGGTAGATGCGCAAGTTTAGAGAACAGACGGACTGTCTCATCCACAGAAATTTGTTGAGTACTGATTATGAGTTGCAAAAGTTGATACGCTTCATCATCAGTCATCTTATCAATCTTAATAGGAGACAGCCCCTGACTTAGCCTGACGCCTGCTTTTTTGTCTCTGGTCGTGATGAGAACAGATCCGTGGTTGCAGTCTGGTATATAACGGGCCAGGTTGCCACTTGCCGGAGCTGCTGCTGCTTGACTACCCTCGCCTGGATTGTCCTGTTGTAGCTGATTTGAGAAGAACATGTCCATGTCGTCGGCGTTGTCGATTACCATAAGCCATCGCATCATGGTCTGCTGTTCTAGCCAGTTACTGACGAGCAGCAGCATGTCGGCCTTTGGGTCGTCTTGCCCAGGTATGTTGCATTTTTCAGCGATTGAAGCATAAGATTGGCGGAAGCGATCGATATTGCTGGCATGGACCCAGAACACGGAGATATCTGGAGATGTCGTTTGGAGCCAATACGCATAAGCGATTGCAATTTGTGTTTTACTGAATTATTTTAGATATCATCTATTACCGCCAAAGCTAGATAGAGAGAGAGGAGGGGAAATAAAGCCTTACCCAGCACCGCCAAGACCAAAAAGTGATACTCGTCTGCGTGACTGAGTGTAATCTCCCCGTTGGTCTAAGCCAAATTGCTTCTTAATATCGCTCAAGGGTCCTACCCGTGCAACGAAGTTTGGATTTTGGCTATATGGAACAAGAACTAAACAAGTTTTCCTTAGCAAGAGCTTGTTTGAGGGTCTTTCCTACATACATATTGATCGAGAAGTCTGCAAACGACGCCGTGATGCAAAAGCGCGTCTGCATAAACCACTGAGCCTTTCTCGTACATTTTGATAATTGGCGTCGTGAGGACCAAATTTGACCATTTCAGAATGCGTACGATTGATAGCACAGATATGCTCTGGCCCGTCTTCCCAAGGACGGCAATGTGTAGCTGAAGACTTTGTGACAAGAACTGTAGCAGGCCCAGTCATTTTCCAGTTGCCAGATTTATCCTATTTTGAGTTAGTTTCACCAAATGTAATGGTAGTACTATTGAAAGACATACTCGTTGCGCCGTTGGTGACTCAAGCGTTTCATAAAAGCAAAAGACCTCTGCACTGCCCTTCTCCCCTAACGCCTTGTGGAAATCTCGCTGCTGTATGGTAAGTACTTGCGAGTTATCTCGGTTCAGAGACTCGATTAGGAAACGATTTGGACTGGAATCTCCAGCCATGAGTACGAGGGACGCGATGTTCATGCCATCATGCGGGGTTCCGAAGAAGACAACCCCATAGATGGCGCGGATAAGGCTTTGATCGTCTTCATTTTCTGATCTAGATAACGATATCAAAGCCTGCCATATGCATTAATACTGCGAGAAAGAAAAAAATGTGTGGTGAAGAGTAGAGCTGCTTACCTGTTTGATGATTAAACCTCCGAGGCTATGGCCAAGCAGGATTATAGGTCGAATGATGGAAGCATTTGCTAGCCTTTGCAGACTACCAATGAAGCCAGTAGCAAGATCTTCAATATTCTGTGTACTCTTGCTCTCGGCAACGACTGAGTCATAACCATAAATCATGACCCGAGCGATCGGTTGATCGCTGGAGTCTAATGTAAGATCAAAAGGCAGAGAGTCGCGTAGCCACATGTGGCTTCCTCCCCTTTCTTTAAAAGACCCAAAAGCATGTCCCCCAAGGCCGGATAGTGCAATTATACTGTTTATATTAGCTGACAGAGCTCCTTCTTATCACTGAACATGGGGTTTCCTACTCTATCTTATGATCTTGCAGAGGTGGCGTATAAAGCGCCGTCATGCCATGGAACTCTTCGTCAATAGTCAGATATTGTTTCCGGTGATTAGAGCCCGCAGGCATTAAAATGGACCAGCTGCGGTCATGTTGATTAAGTATGTCCTCGAAAGTAGCCGTGGCCACCTGTGGGCCACCATGATCTTCAGACGTAAGAGACTCGATAGAAGAACCTACGACGCTGCCTTGAGTTTCAAGAAAGGACTGCAATTGTTGGCGGTCCCAGTCGATGGGAATTCCTGTTACCCGAAATGTGCTCTTTCTTATTGCTGTCTTTTTCTCCTCTTTGGATTTTCCCTTTAATTATCTTACAATCCAACGGTAAATGAAACCACGCTGATTCGATTGCATAATTTAAATGGCATTTAGCTCTGCGCTTTTAGACCTCAGCAGGTACTGCAGTGTTAGCTAATGCCCTGTTATGGGTTGACACTTTGCCTTAACCGTTATTATGGTCTATAAGTCAATCCGTGTCAACGAAGAGCATCCCGACTTCAACGAAAACGATACAAGGGTTGGGTAGAATCAAATGGAGGATTGCTCAGTTTGGGTAGAAATCACATCCGAAGGCCATTAGGCAGAATTCTCTTGCGGCCAGGCAGGCATCCACGGCAGGCTGTGGAGAGAATCGGGAAGCCCACGGAAGACTGACATTGCATGCAGGGAAAGGTTACCAAGTACCTAGGTACTCAACACCCCAGTTCTATTATCCAGTAATACTTCAGTTACAGCATAAGGTAGGTAAGCTGCTACTGTTACTACATCTACCACATCTACCACTGCTGCTACTGCTGCTACTGCTGCTTTCAGTAATTAAAATAATAACTTTATACGTTTTTTATGTATGTAGCTCAATCCATTATTGCGCTACAGCTGTGGTATCGGATAATTGGGCTCCTAGATTACTTTTCCGTTTGTGGATTTGCGAGCGCTGTCCACTTGGCTGTAAGCTGTAGCTGATCAGATCGCGGGGAGTATCTTGATATAGATTGACATTGGCATATCTGCCTTCATTAATAATCAAGCACCATTTTCAAAGCACAGCCTTCCGATGTTTGCGTCGTAGAAGACGAATCATCTCGCAAAAAAAGTAGTGCGGGGGTTGGATAGAAAAGAAATTGAATGATTGCGCTGTAGGAAAGTACTACCAGTATTAACTGGCAGAATGAGAGGTGGGGAACAGACAAAGCAGCTGGCGAATAAAAACACCATGTTATGTTATGTACCTATTACCTATTGTTAAGACTTATATAGTCCTGATACGTATTTACTACGGTAGTACGGATAGTCTCTGTTGAGAATGTTTCGTGGATACCAGCCTGGTCTTCCACATCTTTGTAGCTTACAGCGGACTTACACCAGCTCGTAGTAACTTTCGACCGCTATGACGATACTTTCTATATCTCGGCCGAATTTATTTCCGAAACAACTCCGTACTATGACATCCCTGCACTAAAACTCCGAAGAATCGCAAAATCAACGAGAAGCTAGTCATGCACTTAATAACTGTACAGCAGTGCTTTTTATCTTCTCCAGTTCATTTTTAATCTTTTGTTTTAATTTATCTTCTTCTTGCTGTTTCGCCCGGTGTCATTCTCTTTACCAGAAAACCACTATGCGCTCACCAGCCGCTACAGCAATGGCTCTCCGTGACGTAACTCGGCTCTGCGCGCGATGTCGCATACAAGCCTCACAAGCTCTACCTTTGAGCAGAACATCAAGCCGTCCAGCGCATAGCATCGCATCCTCTACTGTCAGAAGCTTCAACAAGACATTACCACAATCATATCGAAGCGCAGCATTCTTCTCCTCCAGCTCCACAGCATCCGCCTCTGCGCCCGAGTCCGAATCCAACACTTCCGCCTCCGACTCCAACAACTCCAACACATCACCACCAACCCACTACGAAATCTTCCCCGAAACCCTCCCCCTCGGCCCCCCTCCCTCGGGCCACTTCCCCATAAACACCCGCGCCCTCCGCCGCGAATTCCTCGCCCTCCAAGCCCGCCACCACCCCGACCGGCACCCGCACAACAAGCTCCGCGCCGAAGCCACCTCGGCCCTCATCAACGAGGCCTACAAGACGCTCGCCAACCCGCTGCTCCGCGCGCAGTACCTCCTCTCCCTGCGCGGCGTCGACGTCGCCACCGACGAGACCATGCAGGTCGACGACCCGAGCCTGCTCATGGTCGTGCTCGAGGCCCACGAGGAGATCTCCGACGCCACCGCCGCCGAGGACCTCGAGGAGCTGACGGCCGTCAATGACAAGCGCATCCGGGAGAGTGAGGAGGTGCTAGAGAGGGCCTTTCGCGAGGATGATGTCATGGCGGCGAAGAAGGAGGCTGTGAGGCTGAGGTATTGGGTTAATATCAAGCAGAGCTTGGATGATTGGGAGGAGGGCAAGCCGGTGGTGTTGCAGCACTGATGCCGTCAAAGGGGAGCTGATCACTCTTCTGAAGGTTACCTATGACTAGGTAGCTGATTTGAGTGTGTATTATACGGACTGGTACAATTATCTCGGCTGGACGTGAAAAGAAGTCTATAATAATGGGGGCATTTAGACAGTGGCGATAGACCTTTTGTAACAACATTTACGGTGGTGTTAGACGTATTGTAACAACATTTGGGGCAAGCAGGTCGCGCACAAGATAGCAGTCTTGCTTCAAAAGACACTTCTGTGTATTTGGCTATGTAACAAAGGTAGAGAGGCAACAAAATTTCTTAGATTTCATTGGTATACAGGTTTATATGTACACAACCAGTCGTGCCTCCTCATCCCCTGCAATCAATGTAGCCACCCTTCTGCCTCATAGTATCTATGCCCGCTCAAACCAAAAATATATACATTAATAAAAAGAGCAAAGCAGTCATGACCAATGGGTTGACTCGTGATATAGCATAGCATACCCTGTGTATCCTCCAATCCTATCTGTTACCCAACGCCAGCCATGCAATGTGATGCAAACATGCAGATTTAAATAAAAGAAGAAAAAAAAAAAGATTGTAAAAAGAGAGACGAGCTTTTGCATTCCGCATTTATGCTCTCTCTGTGCATGCATCACCGCTGGTATGCCGGCAATTGCTCCTCATTATCATTATCCCGCCTTCTCTGTATACTTGTGCTTCCCGTGGATGTTCCTACACCAGCTCTATAGTCTGGGTAATCATGCCCACCTTCGTCCTCATCCAGCATGGGGGCTGTTGGTTCAGCATCTGCCGTGAGTTCATCTTCTCTAGGGGCCCGGCCAGGACTACCGCTCTGATCCATATCCTCAGGAAACTCAGGGGGTGCGCTGGCTTCCTGCATAAGGCGCCTCCTCTCACGTTCTTGTTTATCTTCTCCGGGTTGTACGGAGCTATTGGCGGCGGCCGCAAGCTCTGCCTCACTTGGGGCAGATGGTGCCGTGCCATCTTCTGCCCCTGAGTTGCCAGCATAAGGTTGTCTTGGTGTGGCCTGGGCATCGTAAATGTCGTCTTCATCAGGTGCAGATGGACTGGTAGCGGTCAGATTAGACGGACCAGCAGGTGGCTGGCTGGGCAGCAGTCGCTGCTCTGCTTGTCTTATACGATCCTTTTCTGACAAGTCCCTCTGATCAGGCAATTGGGGAGGGGGTGGGATATAGGATGGTGCAACATCGGGAGAGGTTGTTTGCGGATAGCTTGGACGAAAAGGGTCATGGGGAGTATACGATGGGCGGTGATTATTCGTCTGCGGAGGAAAGTATTCTTGTGGTGGTGGTGGTGGCCCATGGGTATGATGAGTATTACCGCGGTCGATATCTTCATAGCGAGTTGGAGTTGGAAGAACAACGTTGATCTCATCATCGCTCTCTGGATTATCAAGCGTTTTAGATGATGACGATACCTTGATGAGCTTCCGAGGCCCTGAGGAGTCCACTGTGCCGACGACGGACTCGAGCGCCACACAAACAATTCCCTTGTGCCTCCTCAGGGGCGTCGTATCGATGATTTCGATCTGAGCCCCTCTCCTCTGCGAGAACATGTTTATACTTTGATCTGCGGCGCTATTGCTCACGGTGGCATATCGTGACGTCTTGCGAGATGGGAAATTGCCAGACAGCTTCCCGCCTAGGTCAACGAGGACTTCTACCTGGTATTTGAAAGAGATCATATCTCCCGGCACGCCCTTGATAGTCGGGAAGGAATCGTCGGGGATCTTGACCGGCACCGTGACAGATGCCGACATGGTTGCTGGATCGATGATTAGTGGCGCCGTAGTCTGATCGAGGTCTTTGCGAAACACGCTGACGGAGCCTGTCGAAGAGAGTGAAATTCCACCCAGCCCCGTACGAGATTTGGGATATATGTCTTCCTTTTGTAATCGACGAGCGTCTTCTTTAGACATCATGTTCTTAAATAGTTGTGCTGGCGGAGAAGAATCAATCTTGCCTTGACGGAAAAGGGTGACGATAACACCGGTCATGCTCTTGATCTGCTTGATATGCTGCACCGTGACCCGCACTGACACAGCATCACCCGGGAGGCAGCCGCCTTTGAGCAATTCTATGCTGGCAGTGATGGTATTGTCGTTGACCGCTTGCTGCTGCGCCGACATGGCACCGGCAGTGCCCACATGTGACAGTTGTGTGAAGTCGCTCCGACTCATGGTAGTGCCAATGCTGCGCCCACTCTCGCCGCTGATTTCACTCTGCACGTCGCTCGACGTGGCCGCTCCTCGGTGCTCACTTTGTTGGTCAGTAGAATCCTCTGCCGGTGGTTCCTGGGCATCAGGCTCAGATACTACATCAGTAGCCTCTGGTGCAGCAAGAGTGGTCTTGTCCAGTGCCTTGTCCAGTGCCATTGACGACTTTTTCTTCTTCATTTTCCGATTTATAGGCTCAAGGAAGATGATTCTGGGTGCCGGCGGCGGGACGAGGCCAACGTCTATCCTCTCTGCCAAAACGACCTTTCGCTCGCATGTCATTGTCGGCGACATGGAGACGGGACGTGTCAGAGTCGCTGTGATCATGTAGGAGATAGTTCCGCGTTCAAACTAGTTTTCGACAAAAAAGAATGGTATTAGCATTTCCGCCGCAGTAGCCAAG